ACACCTTAAGAATTGTGGAAGCTTTGTATAGTTCTTCTCTTCTGATGGTTCCCATCTCATCTGCATTACCTAAACAATCAACGAAGAACATAACAATAGAAACTAAGTACTCAAAAAAAGAAAGAAATAAAGAAAGAAAAGAAAGTAAGTGCTTGTTTGGAAGCTATTTTCAGAAACAATTTTCTATTTTTTAGAACAAAGTTCAATGAAAATATGTCTGAATAATTGTTTTTCAGAATTTGCTTTCCCTTGTTTTTTGAGTTTGTTGTGTTAGATGGCTGGTTCTCTAAAATACCAATTGACATGCACAGAATATGAAGATTATGCCCCCTTGATGTTAGGAAGTTTATTGTTGGAGAAAAAAACCTGCAGGGAGATAGAAGAACGGCATCAGGAGCTGTGAAATAAAAGGGGAGACAATTACATACACATTGAATAATAGAGAGAACCAAAATAAAATTGCACATTGTGACACAACATGGTGAACAGACCAAGTTAAGTTGATAGTTCACCTGCAGAAACTTCTAACCCATGGGGGCTACATAACGAGACCATCAACAACATTTTTACATTAATATTAGAAGGAAGGCATATGAACCCGATACAGGAAACATGGAGCCAATTCCAATGATTTAATGCACTTCAACAAATATTAACTAATTTTGAATTTTATGTTTATGAACATTATTTTATTGTTATAACAAATGTTCACGTATTAAATTTTAAGTCATAGTTGAATATTAGGTCTATGAGCATCTCAAATTCTGATCACATTTGCTGTTTTAACCAGAACCAGTGTATAAATGGAAGAAGTAATTACAGTAGCATTATCAATTCCAATTATCTGCAAAGAGAACTGCAGGAACTTTCTTTTTTGAAGGTAGAACTCAAAATATACGGTGGGCAATAAGATAGAACCTATGACCAAATTCATTAGAGCAAGATATAGACCCAGCAAGAAAAGTAAAGAAAAGTTGACAAATATGGAGACATCTAAAATGCTTACATAGACTCATCATCCGGATGGGCAACAACCAGCAAGACATTTCTCTTTTGAGTTCCATCTAAATGTCAACGGATAACAGATAGGAGAATTTTAGTTTTGAAGAAGAAAGAAATTTAGAACAAAAGAGAAAATTCAACAAAATAATCCATAATCACCACTATTTAAGAAAGCACTCCTAGAAGATGAGACTGATATATGAAGAATTTTGCATAATGAAGCAACCCAAATTACAACGAATGCAGTAATAACCAACAGCCAAGCCATCTAGGACTCCCCTGAAAACATTTACAGACAACTTTATTCGTTATTAACTGGAGAATGCAGAAAGAGAACCAAAAAAGATAAAATTCCATCAAATTCTAAACTTGAAAAGCCAAAACATTTCACAGTCAGTAGCCTACATACAGCTGATTAGCAACAAATTCCAGTCACATCCGAGTAAAATAACAGAAGAAAACGAAGATTAACACACAATTGGCAAAAACAGATTTAACAACTTTGTTTCAGGCGCGTAAAATTGATTGGAGACAGAAGAGAGTAAAATCAGAGTCGTCAAAATGCCCACCGCAAAAAATAAGTAAAAAAGAAGACATTAAACCACCATCATTATGATGAATATACCCACTATTTCCTTCCCTTCCTTCCCGGGAAAATTAGAGAGCATGAACCATGAGCTTTCTGCGACTACCGTCACTACAGATGAGAATTTCTCAACGATTTCAGGAGAAATTTTGGAATTTCTAATTGCAGGAGCTGGAAAGTGTGGGATCGAGAAGGCGACAGGATTCATATGGACGAATTAGAGGAAGCCATACGAGCATTTCTTCGACTTAAATTTTAATTTTTGAATATTATTCAAATACTATTTATATTCGTTTGAGTGTCTGTACTCTGAAACCCATCCTGTATACTGACCATTTCTAACCATTTATTTTATTTTTATCTAATTTCGTTCAATTATACTTTTACCAATATTAGATATATTTTTAATGTAGTTCTAACTCGTAAATTTGTATTAAAGATAAATTAATCACTTTTTTTACTATGCCGTTTTACAAACAAGAATTTTGGAAAATTAACGTAGGATGCTAAATTTTTAACCAATTAAGCCATCTTTATGAATAGTTTACAGATGGGTTTAATAACTAAAATATAATTTTAGTAAGTGCCTCTAAAATTTAGTAAACTTACATTAAATACAAGCTTAATTCTTAGTTTTTAAGATGGTATTTATTTAATCCCAAAACATTAAATAGTTTCAATTTGTTTTAAAATGTGAGTTGGGATTGACCGTTATTTTTCCTTTTTTAGTACATGTGGAGTGAAAATTCACAACCTTAATTGGAAATAGATGCCTTGTGGGGTGTAAATTCACAATCTTAATTGAAAATAGATGTCTTAATGAGTGAATTATGATCGGTTATTAATAACCGAATCGTGATATTGGCTAATTGAACGTGACAAAATACAGTAAAACATATAAAATAACATAAGTGGGGGCATATGGCTGAAATTTTATGCATAAAATAAAGTACTCTTTCACTGTACAACATTTTTACGTAGAGTGTTTTTGAGATTGAGAATGGTGTTTTTAAAAGAATATTTTTTGTACATTTTGTGTGGAGCTTCCCAACCAACCAATATTTACGACCATAAGGCACTCATAAGAAATCTTAGACAATTTTGTCTAAGCTCGTATCCTTCTAAGTGCAATTTAATTTTTCAATTGTGATGTATGTAATTTTGATTCTAGTAGATTTGACATTTCAATTTCATTTCTAACCTACTAAATAATTTTCATAATTTAAAAACTCATGGACACAAAATTGAAAGTTCTAAAGTATATTAGACATTTTAAAGTTTTAAAGATTTGTCAGATAAGATCGAAAGTTTTTAGAACTTTTAAAAATTTAGAGTCCGATTCAACACAATTAGAAAAATCCGACAATCAAATTTATAATTTAACCAATTTAATATTATGATATATAATCTAATATATATCTATATTATTCAAAATTATCTTTACACAGCTTTAGCATAAAGTTGTCAACATAATCATAGTTCAAACGGTCAGTATTCTACTCATTCTTTGATGTTGGTGATTCAAATCCTCACACCTACACTGTACATAAGTTACACGAGCCGAACCCGACAATTGTGATGGGCGATTCAGTTGGAAAGCTGCGGCTAGAGGTTGATACGGTACTGTAAAATTGAGTATTTAATTTCTACATGTCTTTGGTCTCGTTTGAATAAGCCACCAAATGGGTCCCTCCTAACTTTCTTCAGCTAACTAACAGCATTGCCAATTTCACTAGCACGACCTTCTCCGCGCGGCATCTTCTTTGAACTCACTATCAAACAACAACATTAAGCACAAAAGATATGAAATTTATAGCTCATCAAGTTGTTCCTCTCTCCTTTCAAATTCAGTCTTAGACTATCTTCATTAACTCAGGTTGTGAACAGTTAGAAGATGTTAATTGAATTGACAGATCATAGATAAATTGCTACAATTTTAAGGGTCCCATTTCATTTCTATCTGTATAATATCTTGCTATGTATTTCCTCGTTCTGAAAGATAATCTTATGTAAAGTTCAGACAGAGAGAGAGAGAGAGAGAGAGCATACAATCTTCCACGTCCTTGAGCTGGTAGAAATGTGGAGCAATTTCAACCAACCATTCAGGCTTCAATTCCGTTACCTGTGGATTCAATTGATTGATAACATATTAGTGCAAAAGAAGGAAGAAGATGAACTAAAATTGGTTAATTAGAGGGCAGAGAGTATTATCACCTGTCTCATATACTCCTTGGAGGTGCATACCAATTCATGGTATACAACCCATCTTGGAAGAACCTGAGGTGGTCAATCAAAAGAATGAAAACCATATAAGCTAGATTCTTCCTTTTGTGAAAGTGAGTTCTGCTGCCAAATTGGAGCTAAAAGAACACAGCTTACCTGAGCCAACCCTGAGCTAGGATGTATATGAACTGTCTGCGGATGCTTAATGGTCCGATACGAGCCATTCTTTTGCAACTTTCCAGAATGAGGGAAGTAACCTGGAAAACAATTTTAATCAAAAAAACTGTAGAACCCAATAGAGGAAGAAAACACTTTTTCAAGCATTAGTGAAACTCTGAGTTTCGACACAGCTCTAACACTATCTAGAAGACAATTCAGTTAAAATCAGTTAAACTTTCCAGCATTATTGAGAGAAAAGAAATGAAGATGAACCAAGATAGTTTCTTGAAGAACTCCCAACAGAATAACAAATAATTAAATACCTATAACCGACTTCCACATTAGTCCAAGTGAAATCCCTATAATATGATTTAGCAAACCAGATCAACGTACATCCTATTCTAATTCTACACAGGAAAAAATAGGTCTTCAATGTCGCACTATCTTCAAGACTTATTGTAGCACCATTGGAGGCAAAGGCACAAAATACACAGAATACAGCTGCTACAGTCGATGTGTAACCCAACTACAATGCAGTACAATTAGCCATTTTACACATTTGAATATGTCAATAAGCTTTGTCCAAAGCTGTGGACAAATTTTCAGTCTCTAATCCATAATATAACTTTTTAGTTTTAATATGTCAATAAGCTTTCAGCCTGCTGCTGTATGACAGATTTGATGGGTCAGCGTTAATAATTTACAAAACCTGTCTATTTAAAGGGAAACCAAACATATCAATCATTTATAACTTCGTACACTTTTTATTTCCTTATTCCAGTCACATTTCATGTTTCACGACTTCCATTAAGCTGTTTTATGCCAGAATTTAAAATAGTTTACACCGCTTAAAATGGCATTACAGAATTCAGAATACAAAAAAAATAGGAATAACTTCTAATAACCACTTACCAGATATTATTGTCTTCTTTATTGCATCTAAATCATTCAAATTTGAGGTTAGTTCGATTTCAACCCTTTCTAAGAGCCCCTCAAGTTGATCTCTGATATCTCTAGCACGTTTCATACTTCTAACCTAGTAAACACAAAGAATAATATATCAGCTCTGAGAATTATAAATTAACACATTCCTCAAAAAATAGAAATCCTAAACATCAAAGATAAATATTAGATGCTGTAGTCGTCACACATTAGTCTGTGTGTCGGAAATGGTAACAGCATATATTACTCCCCCACATCCCAAATAAATGATATAACTTGCTCTATAATGATTATCACTTTAAGCAGATGTCAGGAAGGACTTATCATCAGGTACCTAAGGATAAATATTCAGAAACAAGAAGTGTTGTTATGGCTTAGATTCTTTAGATGTTTTGGGATTGTTTGGGTCCGTTCCAGAGATTGTAGGGTGATGATGGAGGAAGTGTTGTTATTCCCCCTTTTCGTGTTTTCTTTGGCAAGCGGGTTTTCTGGCTACGTTATGGGGTATCAACAACAGGCAGTTTAGGGGGTGGAAAAAACTGCGGATTATATTTGGGACCTCATTCGGTTTAATACTTCCTTATGGAGTTCAGTCACTAAGGCCATTTGTAATTATCAGTTAGGTCCCATTCTTTTGGATTAGAGCCCGTTTCTTTAGGAGCTCCCTTTTGCAGGGCTGTTTTTTGTATGCCCTCCTTGTTTTGTATCTATTTTTCATTTCTCTCGATGAAAGTGCAGTTTCTTAAAAAAGTATATAGATATATATATATCTCTACGTGCATAATAATTCCTTTTGAAGATTTAAAGTTAGATGAACTTCAGAAAAAGATCCCTAGCTGTTGTTTGACTGCTTCGGCCAGCTGCCTCTGCCTCTGCCTCAAGCACGAAGAAAATATTGACACATCGCCCTTTTGCAACTAAATGTTCGTTTTTTATGATGAGAGAACTCGATATCTCTACGTGCCTCCCTAGAATGGTGGATGATTGGCTTCTTGAAGTGCTTCAGGGGTGGCTTTTTGAAGGAAAAGCTAAAATCTTTTGGAGTTGTACTGCTAGAACTTTTTTTTTTTTTTCTTGGAGCATTTGGAAGGAAAGAGACCAATGAGTTTTCAGCAACACGACACATCCTTTTGATATCTTTGTGAAAATGTATAAACTAATATGGTTTCTTGGTGTCTTAGTCATAGGAGATTATTTTGACATTACAGTTTAGCATTGATCTCTCACGATTGGAAATCTGTATTGCGTTAGTTCTTTAGAGCCTTGTCTCCAGGGATGTTTCTCTTATTTTGTTCAATACATTATGTTTCTTAAAAAGAAAAAAAAAAGTTAAAAAGATGAAGACAGTATAATTAGCTAAAGATTAGCTGAACCAACCTGGATGTAATTCTCGTAGCACCATTGTGTGGAGTAATTTGTTTCCCTCCAAGAGTTGTATACCTAAAATAATCAATTAAAAAAATTAAGGAAGCAAATAACAGTTCCATAATTAACAAATTTGGACATGAATTTTTTAAAACCTAACTTATTTTAGACCAAGTTCAGAAATTATATGCCAAACAAATGAATGGTCGCCTAAGAGAAAAGGCCCAATAAATGAAGAGTTTTATGATTATCATCAGTAATGAATGCGTTGGTTTTAGAAAAGGTTAAACAAGAAAATTTTAAAAATAGATAAATTAAAAATATAGTTTAAGAATGTAAAAGATACTTGGAAAAAAATTGCTCAAGAAATGAAACCTTCAGCAATGCGATGTGATCCCCAACATTCCCGGTGTGAAAATTCATTCGAGCATTGTCAGCATGAACTTGTTTATCCTTCGGACGATAAAAGATAGAATTGCCAATAGAAAGCATAGCTGCAATAGAAATGACCTCATCTGAACACTTGAACTTCTCAGAAGCAACCATCATCTTAGAAAGCATGGGATCTAGAGGAAACTCTGCCATCCGCCTACCCAATTTAGTCAATTCACCAAGTTTATTTAAAGCACCAAGTGCATAGAGCAGTTCCAAAGCTTTTAGCAATGCTTCAGATGGAGGTTGGTCCATAAAATCAAAATTTACCAAGTCATGAATACCAAGGCTCTTAAGTGTAAGCACAACATTAGCAAGGTTTGTTCTTTGTATTTCTGGTACTGTATTGTCTTCCATTTCATTGTAATAACTGTAAGCAGTATACAAACGAAAGCACATTCCAGGACCTGTTCGTCCAGAACGGCCTGCTCTCTGATTTGCTGATGCTTTCGAAATGGGACTCACTTGCAATGACTCCATCCCAGTCCTTGGGTTATAGGATTTTATTTTTGAAAAACCAGGATCGATAACATATTTTATCCCATCAATCGTCAATGATGTTTCTGCTATATTAGTTGCTAGGACAACTTTCCTTGCTCCTACAGGCGTGGGTTCAAATATCTTAGCCTGTAGCTCTGTTGGTAAGTTAGCATATATGGGGCAGATAATGAGTTCTGCAATTTTTGTGCCTAGTCCTCGAGTTCTGTGTTTCATTATTTCCTCAGCTGCTTCAATTTCTTCCTGACCAGTGAGAAACACCAATATATCTCCTGGAGGCTTTGTGACATGGATCTGAAGCGCGGTCACGATTGCTGCATCTAAATAGTCTGCTTCTGGCGCTTTTGTGAAGTGAATTTCTACAGGATATCGTCTACCAGGAATTTTAAATATTGGAGCTGAATCGAAGTAATCGCTGAACTTCTCAGCATCAAGTGTTGCACTAGAAATTAGTAACTTCAAATCAGGTCGAAACCTTGCAATATCCTATTAGACAAAAACACAAATAAAATTAGTAAAAACAACAACAATAATTGAGCTAACGGAAAGAAACAAGATACTAATAAACATAACATAAACTGCATCATGCATAAAATGAAATTATGGATGGAGATCCAGCTCACCTTCACTAAGCCAAACAGAACATCAGTTGATAATGTTCTTTCATGAGCCTCGTCCACCATTATCACACTAAAAAGGGTTTTAAAGAAGTTAGAAAATAGAATTATAATACAGACTAACTAATTTGGAGTATGAATAAACATCAAGCATGCAGTAAGGTGCACCTGTAGCTTGCAAGGTCCGGTTCACCAAGGAATTCTCGTAACAACATCCCATCTGTCATGTACTTTAAAACAGTCTTATCTGACGTACAATCCTCAAAACGTATTGAATAACCAACCTGAAAATATTAGGAAGAGAATTGAGCTAAGAGAAATAAATTAAGGGAATTCAAAGGAAGTATACAAGCACAATGTAACAGATACCACTGATAGCAATACCCGCGTTAAATAACAAACCAAAGGATAGGTTGCATAAATGTAAACACAAGTTAGAAAATGCAAAGAATGAAAAAAGAGTTGTTTGTTCCATCTTACACAATAAATAAGCTAATAAAGAGTATGATGTAAAACAAATTGCGTAATAAGATACACCACAATATCAAAATAACTCATAGAAGGGAGAAGGATTTAGTTTACAGTCTTAGCAGCATCACCTCGTGCCCAAGCTTGACACCCAGTTCTTGAGATACGCGGGCAGCAATGCTCATAGCAGCAACTCGACGTGGTTGTGTGCATCCAACCTTAAGATGATAGCAGGAAAATGAATTTTACATCTCAGGAAAACAGGAAGATTATGATAAATCATTCACCTGAGACTAATTACAAGCTCATGCAGCATTTTGTTTGCTCACAACAATGTGCAACTGACTCCTAAATCAAAACTAGAAGAGGAAATAGAAATCATTGACCATATCTTATGGCAACCAACAAGAGAATAATGTAAGAATTCCTACAAAAATATCCAAAACATCCAGGCTCTACTAAGTACAATAAATGAAATATATTATGGTGAGTATTGAAGGTTATACTTTTCCTCGCTTTGTGTACCCAGCTTCGTGAAGATATTGAGGTATCTGCGTAGTCTTTCCAGAACCAGTTTCACCAACAATTACAAGAACCTATAAAAGGAAGAAATCAGGCATTACAACAAAGTTACTTACATGCATGCAGACATTTGTCCAAAGATAATTAGATATTAAAAAATGCCTAAAATATTTCATTTCTTTTTTTTTTCTTTTTTGAGGGTTAAGAAACAAGTATTTCATTGATTATATGAAAAAAAGAAATTTAGTTCTTCATCTGCACCTTAATACTTAGTGAGTTTAAACACCATCAAAAGAACATGAAATGACACCCACCATGTGCACCAATTCTGTGAGCATCCTTTGCAACAAACAAGTGAAGACCTTGATCACATCTGAAAGAATTTTCAAGAAACCTTTTACTTATGTGGGCCACTCCTTCCTTAGTTGAAGATTTTTCGCTCTAGCTCTCATTATCCACCTCAGGAAGCAACCTAAGATCATGCTTCTGTATAGTGTTTCCCATTTAACTACTTCAGGAGGATTAATGTGACTGGGAGATATACAAGATTGACATAGGATGAAACTTTTATGAGCTTGGATCAATAGAACCCTGTGGCGTCTGCTTTCTAAAGGAGTTAGCCGTTGTTTTATTCTTTAGTTAGAGTTCGAGAGCTCCCAATTTTTAGGTTAGTATGGAACCATGTAATCTTCCCCTCGTCTATATTTTTTTTTTTTTTTGTGAAAAGTGGTGAACATAAACGAAAATGTTTGAACAGACTGCAATTTTCATCCACTCGAAACAAGAAACCCACCTGATAATCATTGACAGCTTGGAGTAACTGATCACGATACGGATAGATTGGCAGTGTTTTCCTCTCCTCCTAGGCAAAAAGAATACAAAATCTCACTCAGTTGTAAGTGGATAGTAAACACGAACAAAGATTATTAAAAGTAAAAAATATCATATCTTGTTAAAAAGAGACTGGTTGACACAAAGTTTCAACCAGAAATTAATGTTTATGATTGGCACAGGCGCAGCCTGATCATCATCACAAGAAAAAGTATCCCCTTCCAATTCATCTTGAATAAACTCTATCCAATCTGTTTATACGAAGACTTAATAACTATGAATATTAAACTTTCTGTTCATATGAATACAAACTTGATGCGATAGAGTAATCAAAATGGAAACCTGCAGCTTCTCCAAAGCTGATTTAGCCTTGGACTTCTCCAGTGATTCAGTCTCCCGTTCATCAACAAACTGCCAAGAATGAATGAAGGTAGCATGAAATAAACAAGATTTTTACTACAGTACCACAACTCCATGCCATAACTATTGAAGTTTTAAGCCACACCTCATCACCTTCCATAACTGATGCCTTAATAAACTCAATCTGATCCTCAAATACAAACCTAAAACAAAAGGATTCAGGAAATGGTTCATTTTCTCTATATACAAGAGATAAATAAATTTTAAAAGATTAAATAAAAATATTATATAATAGACAATGGCAACCACCTCGTATCAACAATGAGCAGTAAAATACAACCAAGGATAGTAGAGTAGTAGTAACATAATCTAACTAAATATCATAGACATAAAAGGAAAATTTCAGAACCATAAAATACTTACTGATAGTCATCTGATGATTGCTTTTTATTTTTGGAACCAAATTTCATTGTTGCTTTCCCTGAAGGATAATTGTGTTAGAATCTGAACGAAGAACATTGCTAGAACCTCAGAGAAGTGGCACTTACCTATTTGGTGTTCCTCCCAAGCCTCTTGTTCTGCAAATGGGTTCATTTTATCTGCAGTGCCTGAATCCCTGCAAGGGTAGTAATATTTCAAATATTTTGACAAAGAAAAACAAGATGTATCGACAGAGACCAACAATAAGGTATTTAATGTGACAATTTCACTGTTCTTGTTGGGCATCCTTATCTAATTTTTTTTACAATTATACTCCGTTTGTAGTTAACTCAAATTGGAGCGGTTTCTTGTAAGCTCATTTTGGGAAGGATTATAGCTTTTTGGTTGTATCTTTTCACACCATATGTTTCAACACTTCTAACTAAAAAAAAAAAAAAGTTTAAGCATTGTTCTTCCAAGAGTTCAACTAACCTATACCGCTGCATTGCCACAGCAAACCTCTTATCCTGATTAACACCCCCTTCCTGATCATAAGCTTCAGGCATCCTGTACTGCACTCCAATATAGTGAAATATGTAATTAATCAATAAATGATGTATCATAGTAGCAAAAATCAATTGCTTTCTTGTAGATACAATAGGGTTTTCTTTTATCATGAAAAAAAAAAAAAGATGGAAGAATTGGATGTCTACTACTCCTTCCCTTTGTATATCTTTCATGGATATTCAATGTTCTTTTTCCAACTGAAAACGGAAATAAAAAGGAGAATGATTCGCACACAAGTTATTAGAATGAATATTCACCAATCACGACATAAAAAATGAAAGAATGTATCCAATGGAAGATAACTTCCTCTTTTTTAAAATTAAAGGAAAAAAAACAAGGAAATTCTTTATATATTCAAATTCAAACAAGTAAAAGGACTTTCATAAGAGAAAAAATTAAATAAATACAAGGGTGGATAAGAAATTATATTTTGCAGTTTTTTTTTTTTGACAGTGCTAACACTACTTTTAAAAGGGTTATTTCTCTTGGTATTTGTGCCTCACCTCACTTGAGGTTCCCACCTCCAAAATCTTGTGTACCTCAGTGCATCTTACACTTTAAAGAAAAACTAGGACCAAAAATCAATATCAAATAAACGCTAGAGCCAAAGCATTAGAAATGTCACATGTTTGACACAAATAATGACCATAGCCCCAACAATCCAAAAAACCAAACCACCCAAAGAACTTGGCTATTCTGTTGAAATCACTTGCCTGCATCTCTACCAAGGTTATTTTGCTAGAAACATTGGCAGACTCAACCAATTTAAGGAAAAAATGAACACACACAAAGATTAAAGAAAAGAAGCAAGGGGAAAAAATCAATATCAAATAAACGCTAGAGCCCAAGCATTAGGAATATCACATGTTTTGACACAAAGACCATGGTCCCAAGCATTAAAGGTATAACCTAATCGATATCATCAAAGAAAGAAAGAAAGATCAAAGATATAACCTCATCGATGTCATCGGCCTCATCCGTCCGCTTCTTCACAAGCTCATATATTTCCTTCTTATACCTGGAAACAACAAACAAAATATAGCACAAGGTTTCATTCTCATATACCTATTTCAAGCAAAGTCCTACCTTTTTTAGCTAGTACAGAGATAAATATCCTGACAGTCATATGAGAAATTAAATATCCAAAAATTTCCAAAGTGAATGGGAACTAAAGAACAATTCTTGTATCTTTTTCATTATTCTCAATGAAAGTATTGTTTCGTATAAAAAAAATGAATAATAGGGTTCAGTACAGCAAAGAAAAAAGCTAATTATCATAAAATATTGATCTGACCTTACATGACTTGTTTTGCAATCTAAAAAATGATCTTAACAGATTGGATTACTTAAAAGATTTCTTTCATGACCACCAGTAAGAGCACACCAGATTACATAAAGAGGCGTAGACATCCCCATCAGATCCTATATAGTAAAAAGATTGGAGAAACTTTGTATATTTCATACCATTAATGAAATATCAGTGTCTTTAAAGAAAGAGAAATACTAGTTTCTTACCAAAAAAAAATACCAGCAAGAAAGTACACTCTTACCTTAGTTCCCGGTATTCTGCTTCAGTAAGCTTCACACCTTCAAAAAGATATTGCTCATCTTCTATATCATCTCTGGTATAGATCATCAAGAAATTCGAGAAAACAAAGGAAAGATGAGGTGACTACATAGAGAGAGAAAAATGACATCATGAATATGAAAAACAAAATAAGTTGAGAGAACTATTTAACATCTTTTCAATTCCTTGGATGGAAAATTGCACTCCATCGAAATAAAATAAAATAAAATAAAAACCCACAATGATAAACAACTGTACCAATTGAATGTGTTCTATTATACCTGATTTCTTCCAGTTTCTTCTCCTCCCTTTTCTTTAAATACTCCTGTCTTGAGACTTTCCTGAAACAGTAAGGAATATTAGAGGATAAGTATCTAAAATTTCATAATCAATGAGATTTAGAAATTATAACTAATGTATTTACATAATTACACACGTAATTCCTAATTCTTTACATATTTAATGCAACGAGTCTTTCTCTGTGTTTTTATAACAAACATGTTGAAATCCTAACAAAGCCTCTTTAAGAGTATATTAGTCCCAGAAGGGTAATCGGCAAACATATTGGATTTAGAAACTAAAAGGTTGAGGAACTTAGCGTTTGCAGCTAAATGGGTCTGTGCAGATTCTAAATTGGAAGAAGACTCTCTTTGATATTTTGTCGAGAGTATGAAATTTGAAAGGCAGAATGACTAATTCTGTAATTCAGAAGGTCCAAGAAATTAGAGAAGCAGAACACCCTGAAACTTAACACTACAAGCTGCTTCTTCACACTTGCGGCAAATTTGATCCGTTAAATGAGTGTAATATCTAACCATCATGGGATGGCTCAAGTGGTCAATGAGGGCCAATGTAAATAGCAAAAGACTTAGAGGGAATGAGTTCAAACCATGGTGGCCACCTATCTAGGATTTAATATCCTACGAGTTTCCTTGTCAACCAAATGTAGTAGGGTCAGACGGTTGGCCCGTGAATAGTCGAGGTGCGCGCAAGCTGGCCCAGACACACGGATATCAAAAAAAAAAGTGTAATATCTCCTTCTGGTTTGATCATCGGCTTCTGGATGTTCTCCAGAAGACAAACTCCTGTGTTGTTCCAAATTCTGATTATCTTTTTTTCTGATAAGAAACAACAGACGTATTATTTATTTTATTTTATTTTATAACCGGGAGTCGAAGCTTCGTTTTCGCGCCCAGAAACAAGAGATGTATTGAAGATCAAAAGGGGAACAACCTAAGGGCAGCAGGATCAAATTTCTGATTCTTAAAATTTAGTTATTAAAAACTGTTTGACTTGTCAAATGATAGGTGGACCTTGCTCTTCAAAGGCACCTTTTAACAATAGGGAGGTTTAATATGAATGGAGCCTCCTCTCATTGTTCTCCAAAACATTGGGTTGACTATATTGATAAGGATTATATTCCTTGGCATTCAGATATTTCTGGGTCTTATTCTTCTAAATCTCTTTAAAGTTACTTAACAACCACCAGGGAGCAGCATCACATTATCCCTCCCATCCGTGTAAGGTGCTTTGGGGCTCATAATTTCTATAATGGTCAAAGTATAACTTTGAATGGAAGCAAACCCTTTATCATTGGTTGCAAAAGAAAGAATATAAAGAAGAATCAGAAGCCTCAACAGTAGAAGTTCGAAAAACTGCCATAGAAGATGGCAATAAATTTTGTTAGTGTTCAAGTTTCCTCCCAAATACAAGATTTCTCCAAGATTATCCTATTATTTCACTCCAAACTAGCTCCCATAGTAAGGAGACTGCATTCATTCAAATGATGTTTGGGTACCTTCTAACTTGTGGCCACCAAATCAACTATTTCACATACTCATTAAATTTTCTGTACAAATGAAGAGTTGACCCCAAGAGAATAAGGAAGGCAAAACCATAAGAAATGTAAAAGTGAAGTTAGCAATAGTAAACCTCAAAGTATCAATTCCGTCATTCTCCAAAGCTTTTGATCTCCGAATTGCCTCGTCTGTTTAACATTAAATGCATGAGGATGATAGTGTAAGCTGAAGAAAAGTGCAAACCATTTCACATATTATAATACATTGATTAAGACTAAAATCAGTTACCTTCCTCCTTCCTACTCAATTTCGGCTCTGTTAACTGTCAAAGAAAACTAGGATTAGAACAAGAAACAATGAAATTCTAAGGACATTGCTCCATGTCGTAGAGTGAGATGGTAGTAAAAGATAGGATCCAATAACACCGTGCTCAACCTTGATATGTACAAAATGAAGGATACTTTTTTTTTTAATGAGAAACAAAGCTTCCATTGAGAAACATTTAGGGAAACAAAAGGGCATACCAAGAAACATCCCAACAAGAGGAGCCAAGACAAGATTAACCATATAAAAAAGGGATCTAATCCAAAAGAATAAGACCTAAGGGTAAGATAGCAAACCTTAGATATCAAACATGACGGCTCATTGATTGTACATGTTTCAACTATCATATTTACATCATACATTAAGATTGTTAACATAAATCAATCAGTTCAAGCTGACTGGGTCCACTAATCCAACCAGCCAATGCATTAATTCAACCATACAAAAAAAAGAATATATGAAACTCAACTTCATCAATGTATGAAGTTTGCAAAAAGAGTATAACTCCTAAGGTCTTTTCAGGGGTGGGGCGGCTGTAAGGTTTGTCATAAGATTCGTAGTTTCATGTTTTATTTGGTTCAATTCTAAACTTTACTTGTAACTTTTTTTCTTGTTTCAAAAAATCTAAAACAAGAAATAATGAATCCTTTTCAAAAGAGGGGGAAAGAAGATATAGCAATTTCATACAAGTATACCTTTCGGGTTCCTGCAGCATCCCGTTCTCTTATATTTTGCTCTAATTGCTCCCTCTCCCTTTGATCACGCAATCTCTCTTCCTCAGACTGCATTTCAGTTTAAACATGATGTTATGAGAGCTGCGGGAACTACATGACTTCTGTTAGTAAACTTGTTCCACTGTATAAGTCTTTATCCAAGTAATAGATATAGATACATCCAAGTATTAAAGAAACTACTTATCAAACTCAATGGTGATGGAACCATTTTCCAAGTGAGACACACATTTCATAAAAAATATGATGCGCATATCTGTACTTTCATGCATGTGCTTCAATAGCAGCCATTATTCAGTATTTGACGGTAATATAAAAGAATTGGATAACAGCAAATAACTTCAACGTGGATTTTTAAACAAAATAAAATAAAAACGTGAAAATAGACAAAGTTTTCGACATCTGGCTCCTATGGTTTTTAAGCATTTGACACTACTAATTAAGAGAGTCTCAAATAAGCTCAAACGTATACCTCATAGCCATCATCATCTTCAGAACTAGTAGTCCGTCTTCTAACCTGTCTATCTTCTCTTTCAAGAACACTTTCCTGCAGCATCTCGTCGAGTCAGTGAAAAATTAACCCACTTAAAAGAAGAAAATATATATATTCCATATCTTCAACATAAAACGAATACCTTGTTATCATCTTCATCTTCTTGATGTTCGCTTTTCTTCCTAAACCGCTTTTTGTGATTCTCCACTTCTCGAGGTGTAGAAGCCATGCCAGCAGAAAATTTATCACCGTTGCCTCCTTTTTCTTCAACATCATCTTCATCATCATCCGCATCCAGTAGTGCATATGTCTTTTGCTTCCTTGCCAAAATTGCAGCTTCTCTCTCTTGCTTCTGATAAAGCTGATGTGGGAGAGGCAGGATAAAAGAAATGATATTAGAGGACATGACTGGAGGAAAACAATTAAGCAACTCAATGTAAAGAACAGCAGCAAATGCAATACATGAAGGGAGGCATGGAACAGAAAAGGCATGAAAAAACACTTAAAAAATATGAATCGCATTGTAATAGTAAACAAAATTCCAACTAAAATATTACATTTAAACCAGATGATTTCTTGCGTGGCACTCTAGAGAACATTTCTTCAGCAAAAGCCAACGTTTCATTGGAAGATGGCAAGCCAAAATCTACCACCAACTTGCTCACTACATCAGCAGGTGATGCTGCTTGTTTGGCTGCAATAGAATTGTCAACGTCAAAAGCACACCATAAAAACCATATCTTTTTACAACAGGATTGAAATACTGAAGGGCATGTAAAAATTAATAAGTTAAAAACAGGAGAAACGTACATAGTCCAATCATATACTGCACAACGGTTGGCTGAGAAAAACCAAGCAGTGACATTAACTGATCAGAAATCCATGTCTTCATGTCATTTTCTCCCCCCATCTCCCTGAAATTAAGTTCGGTAATAGTTAGACCAAATGACATATTATGTGTTAATTTTGAGAAATTCATAAATAACAATAATAATAACAATCCAACTCTAAGAAACAACAGAAAATAAATTTAAACTGGTAACAAGAAGCGCATTTTTTATGAGAAACAAAACTTTGTTAAGAGAACGGAAAAAATACACGGGAAACCCCACTACAAATGGGGTTTGTAGAAAGGAACCAAACTATAAATTATAAAACAAAACAAAAAAAAAGGCTCATAATGTCAAGAATAAGGGATTATTTATGAAGATAATTTGAAAACTCATTCGTCACATACGCCCAAAGAGATACATTAAATCTCACCATAGACCACACGTCCCCAAGCATTTCCAGCCCCTCGAAAGATTCTCTAATTTTACCCAAGCCACATATTCAACAAATTTGCAGAAAAGGTCGCGTACCAAAGTGCTTATCCCTTGTCCCCAAATAGCATATGCAGGTAGAACAATACCTCCTCCAATATCAAGCAACACGAATGATTCCAGGACAAAAGCACGCCAAAAGTCTCCAACAGCTTATACCAAATTGAAAAGGCAAATTTGCACCCCCATAGAACTTAGAAACTTAGGCACGGGCAACAACAACAAAAACAAAAATAAAAAATAAAAAAAGATCAATGAATTAATTAATAGTGTTAGTCCTCTCGTCTAAGACTGTGAAGCAAACAATACAACCTTGTCGGGGTTCTGACATTCCAAAGTGAAGAAAACAGAGAGTAAAAAAAGGTGAGAGTCGCGCAACAAATTTGAGTCCCATGAGAAACTATACCCAACCCCGGAACAATAGTGAAATCCAGCCAACAAAAAGGGTAAAGAAGAAACATACAAAAAATCCCTATCGAACCACAAATACCCAAAACGAAATTATATGAAATAAAATGTCGATACCAGATGAGGATATAAGCCATAATGGCAGACTTCGAGAAAGAAATATGACTCGTTTGCCCCTTGGGAGGCAAATGGGACAACCCCACACCTCACCTAACAGTCCTTCCAAAAGCGAGCAACCGTACCAAATTTCATAAACTTAGAAAATTATAGAATACCTGATGAGATAACATTTCGAGGGTTTCTAGATAAACCCACAATATGAGAACCATCTGGCTAGGTGATTAACCATATTTGCTCATTATAGTCCTATGCTACCAAGGATTCGACTCCGAATAGAATCGTTGCAACCACTTTGCTATAAGGTCCGCATTATGAAATCTGAATTCCCCCAACCTATAGCACCCAACTTAACCAGTCACAAGACGACCTCACCACCTAATAAAATGATAAACTTCATCCTCTATGGCATTCTCCCACCAAAAATCCTCGTTTGCCACCCTTGAACTGACAAAGGAAGGGATCTTAAACAACGAAATGAAGTGAGCAATAATGCCATTGAATACTAACTGGCTGAATTTGAGGAGCTTGTTCTGAGAGAGAACCATTAATTGGAGCCAGAAAGCAAAGATTGAGTGTGTCAGAGAGGGCGATTGTAATACCTCCTATTTTCGCCCGCCGCAACTTCAGTCGCCGCAAGTCTCCGTCGCCGGCCGCAAGCCTCGGTCCGGCCTTGCGCGTTCTGGTATGGCTATCAGTCGCAAGCTTCGGTTTGGAGGTTTGGGCAAGTTTCAGAGCAAATCCCCGGAGGAAGGAGAAATCGCAATAGTATTTTGTTCTGTGTCTTTTAAACTGGAAAAATTGCATTTGTACCCCTAATTAAAATTACGTTTGCAATTTTCCAAAATCACTGGTTAAACAATAGTACGTATTTGGGATCATCTTCCTATTTTTTTCGAAGTATTTTATTTAAAATGGTATGCGAGTACCTTTTAAAAATTACAAAAGTAACCCGAACGATAATAATTCATAATTGACTTATATCTCTGATTGATGTCGTGAGTTCAATCCTCCCACCCCACATATATTCAACAAACAACTATACAAAAGTAATTTTGACTATATAATCTATCATAAAATTTATTTGAAATTGTCGTGTCTTTTTAAATAATTGTTACCCTTACTCCAATTTAATGGTAGAATATTATGAAAAATAATTGTTATAACAAATTATAGTTTTTCATTTTCTTTCTGACAATGTATTGTTTTTCATTTTAATAAAATATGGTGCGATAAAAAAAAATATTGTTACACTAGACTGATTAATTTGGAAAATTTGGGAGCATTCAAGTGGGTTATGCTAGACTTTGTGAAATTTTCTTATATTGGGGGAGTACAACAATCCATTTCATTTAACTGTTTGCCACGTCACTACTATATTACAAATGCTATGAGGTCCATTTGTTCTATTTATCATGTAGATATAAGAAAATATGGTATTACCGCCAAATTCTAATGGAGGTATGGTGCAAACATGCAATAGCTGTGTACGATACAAATGAAGTGTTAAAAGCTTGCAAGGAATCACGATACTCTTCATACTCATACAAATAAGAACTTGGAGGGGTTCGAAATCTACCTTGAAACATATTCTCTATAGGTGGCAAAGTTGCTGAATGAAGAAGACGATGATATTACCGAAATTGTTTGGATCGTGAATGAAATTAGACATCTTGTTGTTCATAACTAGGCAGTCTCCATACATTTCATCGCGTGAGAGGCAGACATTTTAGCTCATTAAGTGGCTCATCGGTTTTCACATATGGGACAGCTCTTGTGTGTGAGGTTTGTGTTTTCCTTAAATCCTTTTGTGGATTGGTACTATGTTGGACATCAATTCCTTTCATGGAAGATATTTTATTAAAACAATAATGATAATAATAAAATGATAAAGTATGATATATAAATCTATTGTTAGTTCGATAAGCACGAGGGACTAAAAAACATAATATATATATTTACTATGAATAAATCATTTTTTATTTATATTGATAATGTGTCATCGAAATTTAAAAAAGATGGAATATCGACCCGAAATCATTAGAAATAAAAAAGAAATTTTGAGAGGCCCACACGGTCACACTTCAAAATACCCCATGAATAATATACTTTATAAACGAAATTGATGGGATGTATAAAAAATCACAATCTATTTTACTTAGTTGATATTAAAAATGAAAAATTTTTTAGTATACAAGGGGTTTGAGTTGGTTTGAGATAGACGTCAATCACTGCTGAACTATATTTGTTTCGACTTATAAAAAATAACATGAATAGTACTAAATGTGTATGTTTATAAAAAATAAAAACAAAAAATAAGAAACGATGAGGTTTATTTTTAAATTTTTAGAAATAATTGGAACGTATATTAAAAATAAGTGAAAATACATAAAACAAATTGGAAGCAAACAAAGCAAATTTTTAAAAACTAGAAACGTAAAAGAAAAAATAAAAATCCTAGTCAACAAAACGACTAATATTCATATTATCCGTACGGATCGACATAGAGAGCAAAAACAGTTTCGGTCTTATTATTATCATTCGCTCCATCTGATTTCAATTCAACGTCTTGACTCTTTGATCCAGCGATCTATCTTTATTTTAAGCATTTCCTTTAATATCCGCCGCGGTTGTCTTCTCAAACCATTCATTCACCAGGTAAAGGTTTTACAGAAAATTCCAACGATCATCTCATTCATACATTATTATTTTTATCGCTGACCTGTGAGTCCCGATTTCAGTTTATTTTTCGTGTTTTATTTGTATGATTTTCGAGTTTCTGTTGATCAATCTCTACCTTTTGTCCTCATGGGACTACTGAATTCACGAATTGTGGTAAATGCTGTCTTCTTCGAAGTAGGGTACCGTTTCTTTTGAACCCAATTTGGCCATGTCAGGATTTCTTCGACTTCTCAGTTCACGTGTGATTGAAACTGCGTTCGTTTGACTGTTCGATTTCTCCGAAGTGGCACGGAAACTGACAACTGAGGTACAAAATTTAAGAAATTCTAAGGATTTTGACCGTTCAGCGTAGAAGTTATATAAAATGTGTGAGGAAAATCACTTCATCAATGACATATATGGAAAGTATGTATGATTTTTTCGCGTGCCTTGCATTAGAGACCGTTTTTCACCACCGGAAATCAAACTTGATACAAATTTACGTACTATGAAATATGAATACAAATGACATTTATTTGATGGACTCTGCGACTTATTAACCAGTTACAGTGAGACGCTATTTGTATCAGTGCCTTGTTAATTTTTTGTTCCCATCTAATAAGCAGCAAAGACCATTTGTTTTTAAAATTTTTTATAGTATTAGCGAGGAAATTCAAATACGCAACCCACAAGGAAAAGGGAGCCACAAAATACGGGGACAATAGGTTAACTAACCAAAATCTTAGAGGCATGCAAATGGTTCATGCCCTATATAGTTACAACTGCTTGACCTGTTCTTTCTGACACTCGGACTATATGTGTATAGTATCAGAGATCAACACAAAAAGCTCGTCATCACTACCATCCTTGTTCCTTTATCGGAAGGTTAAGTTTTTCTCTACTGCTGGCGACATGGGGTGCTATGCTAGCAAGAATGTAGATTCAAAGGCCAGCAGAGTTGCTCGATGGCAAGCAACTGGCATTGTGGCCTTGCAAGACTCAAAGTTGAAGGTTACATTCCCTATTATTCCTCATATTAACTCTATGTTATCTTTTTGTTGGATTTCAGCCATCTTGTTTACTGATAAGTTGCATATGAAATTTCCCCAGGGGTTTAGGATGTTCGTTCGTTTAAGTTTCTGGGGGCAAAATATTTAATACATTCTTAATTGAATTTGTTAGATGGTCTTAATACGAAAGATAATTGAATTTGTCGGACCAGTATAAATTGGTTATATGAATTAATACAGTATATTGACTATATAACTCATCAATTCAACTGGTAATGAACATAGATAAACAGGGAATCATTATTAGTCCTCTGGTTCATCCTAGCCTATGTCCAAGGAAATGAGATTTAGATTGCATGAATCGGGGCTTTCACAATCATAGAACTTTAGTCATTCCAGAAAATGCTGTATGTGTGAATATAGAGCATATGGCTTCTTGGTGGGCTTAAATCCACAAGAAGATTTTTCGTAACTATGGTTTTCTTTTGATTATACAAGATTGAAAACCCGCGATTGTATGGTCCTTAGGGGAGGGTTCTCTCAACCCACCAACCACCTTTAGGTTGTTCTTCCCTTCTTTGGGCCTCTTGGTTTTTGAATATATTCTCTTTGTTTCTCATAAAAAGAAAAAAATGGAAAAAGAAAAAGAAAATGCTGTATGTGTTGATGAAGTCCAATAACTCGTGCAGTTCTTGGGAAGTGCTTGACACGAATGTTAGTTTTGTTGGTCACCTGCTCACACTTCTACTAATTTTGGAACAGGCATTTCCTGATGAAGTTCTTGACCTGGACAGATCTGTCCGTACCCTTGATTTAACTCACAATAAAATAGGTGGGTATCTTGCACTCTTCTCTCTTATGACTTCCTGTCATGGTCATACTTATCCTTAAAAAGCTATTTTCAGAACTTAATCATCATCACGTCTAATTTAAATGGGTAATGATAAAACTTTCATCTATTTTACCATCATACGCTTAAAACTTTCAACTTATATTCACTTGTCTTTTCTAATTATTTTGCAGTTGATATTCCTATGGAAGTCTGCAAATTAATAAACATGCAGCGCCTGGTAGGTATTATATTTCTTATTTGGTAGGGATTATTCATTTTACACATCTGATTGAGTGTTGTTTTGTAAACATTTTCAACAAAAGCCTTGGACATCTTTGTAGAGCTTGGTACATTCGTTTTGATTACGTGTACTTCACATATTTGAATCGTTGAAACTTTCTACTTCCTTTATCTTTTAGAACTACAACAATTTTTTAGAACTCACGGTTCATATATGTTTATCTCTAGTGAATATTCATACTAAAGTGAATTGTGTGACATCGTCTTGAAAGGCAGATTCATTGATAAAAATGATGAAAATTTAAAATATTTTGTCTGTCCACCAATTGAGTTGATGGGGCATGTTAATTGAATTGAACTAGCTTTTAGTTTTCCCCTACCAAAGAGTTAGCTTTAAATCTGTTGCTTGCTGAGAGAGTCTCGGTAAGTTAAATTAGATATCAAGAACTTTGAAATATTCTACTTCTTTTTTTTCTTTTGGCATAGTTAACGATAGGGAACTATCACATATAGAAATAGCCAAGAGAAGAATACAGCAGAAAGTATTAACTTTATCCTTCCATAAAGTTGCTAAAGTTTGATATATTTTCATTTTCAGTTTTGAATTATTGGATAATCCAATTATTCAAAAAAAAAAAAAAAGGATAATCCAGACCAATTGGTAATTCTCATGGACTACGATGAATAGAGGATGTCATTGTCCTACTTATATTTGATATCATTCTCATTGACTCCATCATTCAATTACAACTGCTATCTTTACTGCATGATTTTTTCATAATGAGAAGTGTAAACAACATCTCATGTCTTATAATTTTTATTGTCTTATTTATGGCCTTCCTTGACAAAAGTTTCTTGGGGATATTATTTATTTATTTTTTAAAATTTTATTTGCAGATTTTGTAGGATGCCTTGACCTACTGATGTTCTTATATTTTAATAAATCAAGTTTCTTATTTACACATGCATTCCTCTATTGGGGAAAAACAAGAGAAATGAAATATGAAGCAAGACTGAATTGCATCTTCAATTTCCATTTTCCTTGTCAGGTATTGGCAGATAACCTTATTGAGCGTCTACCAATGAATTTGGGGAAGCTTCAATCTCTAAAGGTTATGATACTTGATGGAAATCAAATTACTGCATTACCTGATGAATGTAATTCTCTCATCTAATTTAACGAGATACAAGAAGTGATAGTCTCTTTTGCAAGTTTTTTTTTATATACATTCTAAATGGATATCAGTTCTTGTATGTAGTGGGTCAGCTAGTAAGGCTTGAACGTTTATCTGTCTCCCGAAATTTGCTATCAACCTTGCCTGAAACCATTGGAAGCTTGCGGAATGTAAGTGGATTTTGTTCATAGCATTTTAACTATTATAATTCCTCTGTAATATGGATTTTGTTGCATTTTCAGATCACTTTAAGTTATGTTGTTTCTAGCGTAGAATCATGGGGTCTTTAACCATAAAAATGAATGTATATGTGGCAGCATCAACCTTAAAAATTTTAAATCCAAAGTTGAATAGCAAAAAATGGGTGCCTTGGTAACTAATTATGGATAAAGGAGGTGAAATACATTTGGAGCGTTAAAGAAAATAATGGTTAAAAAGTATTATGTGCAAATGCTAGGTTCAAAGATGAATGACCATGCAATATGGATAACATTTGTGTAGAAAAGTTGATTTGGTGTGCTAGGATGTTCCTTCCTTTCTGAATATATATCTTTCTCTTTCTTATTAAAAATAACAATAAAAATAATAATAAAAGTATACCATAGACTGTAAAATCAGAGGTAGAAGTCGTTAGAGGAAGGAAAAAAGTGAAAAGGGAAAAAATAGGATCAGTTGGAGTTATCAACTTAGGATTGATTGATTTTTCAATAGTATAAAATAAACAGATTAGTCCGAAAATCTCTTTTTATTTCTAACTAGGATCTAGTCGTGAAAGCCCCAGGGTGTCCCTGTTGGCAAGGGATTGAGGTCTCTTAGTCATACCAGTTTAGAGGTCTCAAGTTCGGACTTCGAGTAAGCTTAATACAACAAATCCATAATGTCTCCCAAGTTCGAGTCTTGGAGCGGGCGCAGGCGCCCCGTATAAAAGGAAAGCTCGGACTCCCGGTTATTAAAAAAAAAAAGCTAGGATCTAATCATGATCAATCCTCTGTTTTTGTAGCATCATGATGCATTCATAACCATGGGATGAGATTGGGCAAAGTTAGGCAAAGTTACGTTTTCCATATAGAGAAGCCCTTACATTGCAACATGATTCCAAAAGACCTCGAGAGTGCTAGAAATTTTATCAAATATAAGATTATGAAAGTCGTCATCATAGCACCCGTATTCACTATGATGTTAACAGTGAACTTCATTGTATGAGAACCAATTTTGATGCTAATATTAAAATATAATTCCACCTTTAAACTTTTCATTTTGATGTGGTAATATGTGCATATTATTAACTTTGAGGGCTAACATGGGGTTCGATGGTGCAGTTATCGCTTATCAATGTGTCAAACAACAAGCTAAAATCTCTTCCAGAATCAATAGGGAGTTGCTTCTCACTAGAAGAATTGCAAGCAAATGGTATATGAAATTCTTACCTTCTTTTTTACTAAGTAATTCCCATATGCTACTCTGACAGTTGTTATTTGGAAGCATGAATCATGACATGGAGCTTTAAACATTCGCTCCTTTTAAGACATGCAGAACTTCTATTAATTGGACCTCTTGATTACACTTTAGAGAATATTCCAGCAAACTCGTGTATGACTGCCATGGTTCTGATTAGTTTCTTTTTCATCATTACATGTTTGGAGATGCATATGGTCTCCTCTAATTTGTGGTTCTGTAGTTTTTATTCAATCACTTCCTTACATCTGAACAACTTTTCAGATAATCTCATGGAAGGCCTTCCCTCATCTTTGTGCAATCTGATTCACCTGAAGTCGTTGTGTTTAAATAATAACAATATTGGTCAGGTAGACTTTTTCACTATACGTGCATGATTTAACTTCCTAAATTTACAGTTCTGGTTACAGCAATGAGTAAAATTCTTGACTTAAAATTGCTTTTTACTGATTATAGCCTTGAGTTTTTGAGATTTACATGTACATGGAGGATTGGCACTCCTTGCTAGATATATTGACTTTGAATCCATGACTTCCTAACCTGAAATTTGAGTCAATATGCTCAGGATCTTGATTGTTGAGTCGATGGCAGTAATGAGAAAAAGCTAGTTACTTGATTGGACATCTATCGCTTGATAGCCTGTTATTTTGATTTGAATCTCTCGTGAATGAATAATTTCTGATTCCAAAATTTTTATTACTGACCATTTCAGATACTTGTAACTCTTAGATTGACTGTACTAAAAATAAGAATCTTAGTTTGGTATGCTTAGATTGATCAGACTTCCAAAGCCTATTTTATTACAGTCAAAATGAGAGGAGAGAATTACAAGTAAGTTCAAGCTCTTTAATAGACCTGGACTCGTACCTTCTAGGCCACACTCTTATCAAGGAATACTACTTATTGATGGTCCTTACGTGACAAAATGTTTTCATGTTGTTACTACATAATTAGGTCTCACATGTGCATGCACGAAATGTTCCCTCCCTTCGTTGCAAGATAAATTCCTCCATAGCAGCCTTAGTAGTCTTCATCCTAGGATACATAAATTTGATATGTGGTATTGCGTTTCTATCTCAGTTACCATCAAATCTGTTGAAAGATTGCAAAGCATTGCAGAATGTATCTTTGCATGGTAATCCAATTGTAATGGATCAATTCCAGCAGGTGTGTTCTACTCCTTATCTTCAGTTTTGTCTTATTTAACATTATTCTTAAAACCACTGAAATGTACTTACTAATATTACTTGCCTTCTTCCATGGACTATTAGATGGAAGGATTTGAGGAATTTGAAGCTAGGAGAAAAAGGAAATTTGACAAGCAAATTGATTCCAATGTCATGATTAGTTCCAAGGGCCTTGATGAGGGTGTTGATCTATAAAATCATTGCACTGCCTTTACAAAGAATTGTAAGTTGAATGCTCAAGTTTTTTATGTTGGTGCTTGCCACCTTTAATTTTCAATGTTCTAATTTGTAATGTACATTTCAACTCCTGATTGAACAGTTAGTTACAATTTTTAATAGCATAGCAACTAAATCACTACAAATAGAAGTACATGGACTAAAACGTGTAAGACTGGAATGGTACATTATAACCATTCTTTTGGTATTGTATAGGAAACTTTTAGTCTTTTAACATGCCATCTAGCAATATATTGAAAATTCCCTGCCTTACTCATTTTCAACTTCTGTACAGATTGAATGGAGATGCTCTGCTTGTTTGCTTGTTGGTAGCTGTAAATTCAAAGGGAATGGAAGAATTTTTATATGGTGACTTCAGACTGGAACTGGGGGACTGTTGTGAAATGTTTTGATGCAAAATAAAATGTATACAGGAGAACTCCAATACAGTAGATTTGTGTGTATAGAATGGAAGCCTTTTTACTAGTCTATTTATATGTCTACTGTCATTTGGCAGGCTTGTATAAAATTTGGAATCCAAATTAATGGTAAATTGGGCTGAGGGAGGTCCAATGCTATATATTTACAGGGATTGTATTTCCATATATGGTATAGAAATTGTAATACTTGAGTTTCGGTAGATATATTTATTATAATTTGTTATTTTTTTATTTTTATTTGTCATCGTTGATGTAAAAATAAAAATAAATTTTCTTGAAAGCATCGATGGGTTGTGTTGTTCAAAGGAGGATATTTAAAATTTATGCGCTCTTGGAAAAATACTTGTTTTGTTTTAATAAAATTCTCACTCACAGTTATTGGTTTTTAGATATTTTTACAATTCCGTACAAATAATTATAAGTCACGAGTGATATCTAAACTATAGATAATTTCTATTCCTTTAGTAGAAGTTAAAAATTCGAATTTCTATACCCACATTTGTTTTGACTTGATAGAACAATGATAATAAGCTTTGTATATAACTAAATCGATAAAATGTATGAGTTTCTAATAGTTGTCGGGAGTAGCGTAATCCTAAGTCATGTTAAACCCACTCTTATTATATAAAATTGGAGTAGGGTGATATTTTCTCAAACAAAAAATTGGAGTAGGGTGATATTTTCTCAAACAAAAAATTGGAGTAGGGTGATATTTTCTCAAACAAAGGGTAAAAAAAAAAAAATTGTTTCAACAAAATAATAAAAATAATGGATACCATAAAGCACAAAACCAGGGTGAAACAAAAAGTTTTTTATTTTTTAGTACAATGAGTGGGGTGACATATTCGAACTCATAATCTCTTAATCGTAAGATAGGTATCAATCACTGTTGACTTAAACTCATGTTGATAGTGAAACAAAAATATTACTAATCTCTTAGCTTGTCATTATTTGAAATATATATATATATATATTTAGAATTTAAATATTATGTGCAGAGGGAGTTACTTATATCTGTGAAGTTTTGTCCCTCTACAGGCAATTTGTTAGTTGTCATTATCAACGTGAGTATAATTTAACTATCGAGACATCTTATTTCTTATTTTTATGATCGAAGGTTTAAATCACATCCTTTTATTATACTAAAAAGACAAATTTATAACTTCGCTGTCCCAATGAATAGTTTTATTAGTTAACAAAACGAATTTGTAAGTAGAAAAGTTTACAAATCATATGATCCCAACATATTTAAAAAGAAATAAAAAAGGAAAAAGAGGTAAACACTGTTTACTGATAATTTTGTTTAAAATAAAATATATTATTGTTGGTAACAATTTTAATTTTTTATAGAAACCATAGAAAATATAATCAACAGTAGTACACATGTAGTGACCTATAGCTAAGCGGTAATTGATATATATCTCAAACCTCATATTACATCACCATCATGTTTTTTTTTAATAAATTATATAATAAACCCACCATAATAAATGAAAAAAAAATAAAAGAATGAAGGTGTTTTACAAAGAAGATAAAAAAGGAAAAAACATAAAAAGAACCTCAATTTAAAATGATTACAAAAGAAAATAAAATGGCAAGATTGTAAGACAACATCTACTCATATTCTACTTTTTCAATCATTTCATTTACGTAATTCTAAAACATTCAATTTTATCTAATTATTTTAAACTTTTAATTATTTTAATTTTTCTACTCTTGAAGCGTCATTTTAATCGACGTACGTTTTAAAAAGGGATAATTTCGATAATTTCATGTTATTTCTATAATAATTGTAACATGATATTTTAATCACTAAATTTATTGAAATGTGATTGAAAATTTATATTAAAAAATGTCCGTTACATATAAAATATTGTTAGAAGTTTACATAAAAAGTACACAAAAACAGATATTTTAAAAGCAGAAAATTAAAATCATCAAGATCAAAATTACAAACCAAAATAACACTTAAATCTAAATAATGAAATCACATATTACACTTCAAAAAGGAAAAAGAAAAAGAAGTCAACTGTCAAAGGCCACTTGACAATTAGGCCCTCGAAATATGCCACGTGTCGAGGATCCGTAGCATTGAATTAAAACCCGAACGAGCACCACGTTGTGCGTTTGTATCTCACATATATAGCTATTTCCTCCACGTCCCTCAGCCCCTGACGAAGAAGGGGCTTTATCCGTAATTCCATAAAGATTCGTGCCTCTTTTAGTTATATTCGATTTTCGGATAACCTTCTACAAAGAAAAACCAAACCCTAGTTTTGGTCATCGTCAATCGCCGCCGCCTCTTTCAATTTCCACCTTTTATTCTTTTTTTCCTCCATCCATCGAAACCCAGCGCTTCGATTCGCCTTTCCTTGTTAGATCTGCTTTTGTTTCGTCCTCCTCTACACATCGATCCCAATTTTTGCCGTTTCCGTCTTCTCTTTACGTTTCTCGCCTTAGGTTTTCGTCGAAGCTCCGATCCTTGAGTTTAATCGGAGATCTGTTCGTTCCGATTCCTGTTTTGGTTTTGGTTTTTTGTTTTCGACTTTTTTTTAATTTGTAAATTATCTTTAATCGTTTGAGCGGCTTAGATCTGGATTCTTTTCTTGGTTCGCCTGGGGTTGTTTAATCTATCGATTTATCGTAAATCGTCGTTCCCGAATTGTCCAATTTTGTGTTTCTGGTGGATTAGTGGAAATTAGGGTTAGGGTTTCTGCATATTAGGGATTTTATTTTTTTTTGACCAAAATAAATTGGGGGAAAGTCAAATTTCTCGGAGTAATCGCGATTGTTCGGCCAGTTACCCGTATATCCGAGCTCCGTTTTCCGATTCGTCTATTGCTCCGTTGACTCGACGTGTATTTTTGAGGTACAAAGCAAAATGGTTCTTAATTTCTAGGGTTTTCAGTTTGGCGTTTATTCGATGAATATATCAATTATTTCTTATTTATTTCGATCCTTTCGATTATCGTCTACGAATTTTTTTTTCAAAGCTAAGTTGGGCCCCTCTTTAGAATTGTACATATTTACCATTTTGCCCTCCCCCTAGAATACTCTAAATGACCAAGAATATTAAACAATGTCATGATGGCACGCTAGAACTAAACATTTTAAGTGTTTGACTATTATATATATATTCTCACTACTGCCAGTTTACTCCAATTGGTGATTTGACTTGGAGTGTAGTCTTTTTCAAGGGCTCATGTTTATTTTAGAACGCATTAGAAGAATATTCTTTGTTCCTTTCTTCATAGGTAGAACAAGACTAGATAACCGAGCATGTTAAACTCTCTTTTGTTTTTAAAAAATGGGTCCATTCTTCCTATTCTAGTTACTTATGGGTTTGACTTGTCTTGTTTTGCGGTTGCCTTCAACATGCACATTCTTTTTATAGTTGTACGTACCATCAGGGATGCTTATCTTTAAGTGATTATGATCTTGTTTGGACCATGGCCCAGTTTCTTTTTCTGTTTTTTCTTCTCATTCTCACCATGACGTAAAAATGTTTCCTTGATACTAGAATATAACTACACAAATAGGATATTAGAGGTAGCCCGAACATGAAAAAGAGTGTGAGTCTGCATACACTCATACACACATGCATGCATATGTTGTATTGAAGTTTGAGGGGGGAGACATGGATGATGCTCTCTTGGAACTTTAGTGAAGAACAATTGCGAGACTCAACTAGTATATGATTTAATTTTCTGATATCTTAATTTGTTTGAAGACAGGCTAGTCGCCTACTATATTTGGGAATTCAAGGTTATTTTGTAAGCAAGGCAGAAAAAAGTATTTGATTAAAATCCGTTCATTTTTTTAGGAGAAACAGAGAATCACATTAAAATCCGTTCATGATTTTGAGCATTCTACAGAATTCTGTTTGTTATAACAAAGAATTAAGGGAAACTGGAAGATACTGTGCTTTTTTCTCTCCGCTGCCTGTTGTTTATATAAGTCAAGTAATATTTGTTGTGCATTTTGCTTCTCTATCTGTCTTTTCATATATCAATGGAATTTTTGGCAAATGTTTGAACTTATTTTTTTATCCACAGATCACAATTTGTGCTGCCGTTAAAATGGTACAGAAACAATCTTTTGATGATGGAGAACCACTTGAGATCTCTTCCAAGCACTTGAAACAAGTGGTCGAACAGAATAATCAAATTCTGTCATTTTCAGAATCTGTTCTCCCTGAAGATTCTCTGCAGTATCATTATGCTTTAGGTGCGAATTTGGCTGAAATTTTTGAACAAGGGTCCTAGACTAGTTGCTTTTACATTTTGCTATCCTGCACGATGGTAATGTGGAGGCTGCTGATTGAGCAGTTCTACCTAACAATAAATTGTTTTGGCCATTTTTCCCCTTTCTTTCACTCTCTCTCTTTTTTGGAGTTTAACTCTCTTTTGGTTAAATCATATGGTCTATTTGAGTGTAGAAGGAATCTGAAGATTTTAAGCTGTGATCATTGAGCTAGTCTTGATTCTGATTTTGAATAATTTAGGGAAGTGATGAATATTTGATTGATCTGTGACAATTATTTATGAAGGTTTTGTATTCGTCTTGATACTTATTTTCATAAGAAGAGCTGCAAAACAACTTCTATCCGATTGTTGCCATTTAGAGCTTCTTGGATTACTCTTAATGGCATTTCATTTTCCATTGTGATTGTTAGGGGACGAATTTACAAAGAATGATACAGAAAGTGACGAAAAGCATTCAAGTGGAGTTTTCTCAGAGCCCCATGGCAGCAGTGATGACTTTGATACTAGTGGTGTGCCTGGCTGCATATCCTTCTCTTCTGGCACGAACAACAATAAGGCCCTTGAAGAGGGGTCCCCATCTAAATCTCCCCTTCATTATTCTATTTCCTCTGATTTTTTTAACCCTGTAAATCATCAGCGAAGAATATTGACGTACTGTGAAGAAATCTATTCATTACTATTGGACCACCCTCCTCAAAAATCTGTTTCCATTGGTCCCGATCATCAAGCTATTGTTCCACCTTTGAGATCACGAGATGTGGAGGTTATGTCATATATCCCTGGATCAGCATCAAAGTCCGATCTTACAGTTGATGAATACGAAAAGAGGGTGATTGGTACTTGTGTTATTCCAATGCCAGATGTGGACTCTGAAATCATTTGTGGTCAAGAAGTTGGAAGTGGAAGAGCAGCTTGTAACTGTGAGGATAATGGGTCTGTGGGATGTGTAAGTACGCACATTGCTGATGCAAGAGAGCAACTTAAAAATTCTATCGGACCAGAAAGATTTAAGGAGCTAGGTTTCTATGAAATGGGAGAGCAAGTAGCGCAGAAATGGAGTGAAGAAGAAGAACGGTTATTTTATGAGGTCGTCTTTTCTAATCCAGTCTCACTGGGGAAAAATTTCTGGAGTGATCTTTCCATTGTGTTTTCTTCTAAATCTAAAAAGGAAATTGTTAGCTATTACTTCAACGTCTTTATGCTTCGAAGACGAGCAGAGCAGAACAGATGTGACTCGTTAAACATCGATAGTGACAATGATGAGTGGCAAGGGACTGATGATTATGGTGATAATGAACTTGGAATGACAGAGGAGGATGATGACTCTGTTGTTGAATCACCACTGCATGAAGTTGGACCTGTTTTTGATCATGGCAGGGAAGGTGGTTTGCAGGAGTATGATGAGGATATTGCTGACGAAAGATTTCATGATAATGAAAGTGGTGGAATTGGTAATTGTTTTAATAATTGTGGTTCCAGTCCCACGCATCTGGACAGAATTCCTTGTGATATAAGGGGAGGAGAACACGAAGTTCAAGACGATTCGTGCACATCATCTGACACAGGTCCTGCAGCCCAAGAACTTCCAGCCAAGACGGAGCATTGTGATCAGTGGCTCGGTAGCTTTACAGGGCCAAACAATAGTGGTGGTCTTGGTCATGAGCCGTCATCGGTTCAGGAGCACTGTGATGCTAAAGTGTGGGATGTTGGATACTTGACTTGTTCGAAAAGTGAAGTTGACTTCTTGCCAACTAGCAGTATGATAGAAGAAGTTTTTGGAGATGATTCGAGTAATTATAAGGCAAGAGACGGGAAGAGCTTGAGCTAATTGCCAGCTTGAACTCTCATCATGAATGGTGATTTGGAATGGGAAAAAAATTTCCTTTCTTTTTACCCTCCCGAGGGTGAATCACCCAAAAATTTTCTCCTGCATATAAATAGCGATAGGGAGAGATGCAATTTTCCTTTTTCATCAAAGCTAAGATGGAGCCACCTTCCCTGTAAGGAGATGGTATACTTGAAACGCAATTGGTTTTCCTGCACCTTGTCTTCTCTTGATCATAAATGAAAAGTAATTGGACTCATGATGCCTCTCTTGTGCAAAAAATTGTGAGTTTTTGCTCACCTATTTTTTTATTAGCTTATCTCTGTATATACCCATGAACATGAATTATTGATACAAAATGCTTAGAATATGTGAAATTTTCCCTACCAACTAAACTAAGTACTGTATTCGTACGTTGTAAACTTTTGTCATTGCTTGCATAAATGGTACGACTGCCAAAGGATGCAGCCACAGTTGTGCATCATTGGCGCTTAGTGAACCAACCGTAATCATTTGCTTTCATTACATCTGCAGCCATGTTGTTTTTATCACTCTCTTGACTCTTCTTCTGGATCCCTCATTTCTTTAATGCCGAAAGTGACAGCAAACTATTTCATTTTGGTTTGTGCATCATGTAGAGCCATAAAGTTGCATTAAAGTTGTGCATAATTCATTATCTGTCATTGTTGGCGTTTGAGAAATATGAATAGGCTTTATTTATGGTTATTTGCACTAGAAGTGGAAACGTAATGTGGGTATTTCCATAGAAGTTGTGGGAATCTATAGAGAAAAAGCTGGGGGTTTTGGGTGGTGAAAAATAGGAGTCAAAGAGGTTGGCAAAGCATAAAGCCAATGGCAGAGAGCATCTTATCCCCCCTCCCCCATTTCTCTTGATGAATTACAAGCCTTTGTTAGAGAGAGAGAGATTGCCCAGTCTTTTACTCTATAAAGGGTTCTACTTTTTGAAAATTTGAGCATCGCTTTTGAAGTGTTCCATTGAAACCTCACTTCCAAGTCAAGTCCTTGCAGACAGTAACCCGCACCATATGCAAAAGATACAATACAACTATCATATCTTCTTCTTCATACGTGCTCCCAAGTATCCACTCACTCTTCTCTTTGTTGTCATTTTTAAAATCTTAGTTGCTTTAGTCAAACTAAGCACAATTTGTAGTACTGGCCCCAGTGGCTTCCACGTGCCCCATCCTGTTTCTCCTCCAACAAGCTTAGCTTTTAGAGATTACTACTTTTTTTTCTTTCCTTGCAGAAGCAGAAGCAAACTGGATTGGATGTGATGGGAAAACAATGCACATGTTGCTTAAGAGTAAACATAGACTATATATTATTTAACTACAAAAGCAAGTTTACATATTTGTATATTGAGATGGGCTAAAATGAATAGGTTGTGTCTGACTTAATTAGGGGGAAAAAACAAAGCAGAAAATGGAAGGCAATTACAGACAATTCACAGCTAAAGATTGTACTGAAGTGCTGGGAAGAAGGGAACAACCAAATGGAAGGTGCTCCTTAATCATAGTTGACATGTGATTAGTAGTCCTAATCAATACAATCCCCTTTTTCTTTCACATTCATTAGCTTTGTGCTTAATTGCCAACATAGGCCGGCATTGTAGCTCCACTCTTGTTGGTTTCTTCTTCCTTTTTTTTTTTCGTTTTTTTAAAAGCAAGAATCAATCTTTTTCCTGTGAACAAAACGAGAGAGAGAGGGAGTTATGAAACTATTAAGTTGTTTAAACAAAGATTGCTTTTTCCACAGTATAATCTTAGAAAGAGAAAAGAATAGTGTGTTGTTCTTGAAGAAAAAGAAAAGCCTAATTGATCTGTTTCTGTCATTTTAGCTTAACAAGATGCAGAACAGTCCCTTCCCTTCATTTGAACTGTTTTTAATGATGATTAAAGTCATCTAACCTTCTAACTATACCCAAATGAATTTTCCAAAAAAAAAAAAACGACTGTAACGTATTTTTGGCTCAAAATCATGTCGAAAAGTCAAATTTACGATTTTATTTTGACGGGTTTTCATTAGACCCATTAAGCAAATTAAAGAGAATAAAGAGTACAAATATCAACTTAACTCATCCACATTCAAGGATAGAAAATGATTGGATTAAAAAAATTTCGGTAGCTTAAACAAAACCCATTTGGTAACTTGTGAAAAATGGCTAAAGCAATGCATGGGCAAGTTGAACAGTGGAAGCAAAAGATCAAAAAAGTGAGAGTGGATGCAGTTTTGGGTCAGGAAGGAGAGAGAGTTCACAGAATAAATAACTAATTTTACAAAACGGGAAATTTTGTTTGGAAAAAGAAGAGAGAAAGTACAAAAGAATAACGACCAGATCAAAGTGGAAGGGAAGAGCAGAAGCAGAGGTGGGAAATTCCTTAAGGAAGGAATAGTTTTTGAGTATGGCAGTTAGGTTTTGAGTAGGTTCCTCAACCAAACCATCATATGGGCCATGGGGATGATCGCCTTCAACAATCTCAGCCGTCAGATTTGGAGAAGCGTAGGAGTCTCAGTTAAATACACGTGCTGCTCTCATCTCTCTTTTAACCTTCTCTCCTTCTCTTGCCTTGCATGGATTTCTCCTCTAAATATAGTCAAGCTTAGACCCTATAGAGAGAGAGAGACTCTCAAAATTTTGCTTGCTTTCTCCCCTTTTAAACTTTTCTTCCTTTGCTTTGCTCTTTCTTCAAACCTATTATTAGTAACAGAGGTTACAGATCACACCCAATTCTTCCAAATTCTCTCTCTATTGCTGTTTTAAATCTCTTACCTTGTACTTCAACAACTCATTAGGAGGTTAGTAGTGAAAGAGAGAGAGAGCTGGTAGGATGATGTTTACTGGGTCTTCTTCTTTTCCACTTTTTATGCTTCAGATCTTGTTCTTGCTCCACAATTCTTCCATTTCTGAGGTGGGTTCAGTAGTTGCAGTTGCAGCAAGAATTTTTCTATGATCCACCAGAAATTGGGTTGATGTTCTGATCTGGGTTCTGTTTACTTTTCTGTATTCATTGTGAATTGGATCTTGTTTCTAGTGTTATGAGATCAAGAATTGCAGCATCAGTTGAAGCTCTTGGGTTGATCTTGAAGTTTCATTAGCTTTTTCTTTTTGTTTTGTTTCTGTTCTGGTTTTACTTAAACATGGAAGCTAATCTAGGAGCTAGACATGTTTGTAAGCTCTGCAACAAGAGTTTTCCTTGTGGGAGATCCTTGGGAGGCCATATGAGGTCTCATTTGACCAATAATTTAGCTGATAATGATGAGAAACACAGCAGAACAAGTTTTCAACTCGCCAATTACAGTGCTGGAAGCATATCAAATATGGAGGAGACAGATTTGGAAGCAGGAAATTTAGCTGGTTTTGGTTATGGACTCAGAAAAAACCCAAAAAAGACTCAGAAACTTGAGTTTCTAAGTGAAGAATCTTCACTGCCAGAAAAGTTTTGCAGAGAATGTGGTAAAGGGTTTCAATCATGGAAGGCTCTGTTTGGGCACATGAAGTGCCACTCTGAAAGAGCAGTAGTTTCCAGTAGTCAAGAACTGGAAGAACCAGATTCCCATATCACAGATGCCAAACAGAAGCTGGTCATGGATATCCAATCTGATAATGAAACTGAAGCTCCAAACAGAAGGAAGAGATCAAGAAGAAGAAGAACAGCCCAATTAGGCACTGCCATTGGGACTGCAAATTCAACTTCTTTCTCTCTTGCCACCAATTCTTCCTCTGTTTCTGAAATGGAGCAAGAACAAGAAGTTGCCATTTCCTTGATGTTGCTTTCCATGGACGTGGGCAATTGGGTCAATTTCAATTCCCCAGCTGAGTCCTCAGATAACAATTCAAAGTTTCTCGAAGCCCCATCTGTTGTTGAGAGCAAAACCTCTGTCTCCAATGGCGGTGAGTTAGTGAAATCAAACAAAAGACTCAAAGGGAAGAAAGTGGAGTTTGAAGGTAAGCATTCAGAGCAGAGTTCTTCTGGGTTCACGACCAAAGGAAAAACAATAAAGAAGTCCTTACCAGATCAAAGAGCTGGATCTAAAGCTTCCCTCAAGAGAAACGACCAAAACCAATCTCGATTGAACTCTGAGATGTTCTTGAAATCCCCAAAGAAGACATTAGCAGAGTTTTGGGATTCAAAAATCTACAAAAAACCCAAAAAGAGAAGCAAATTCGAGTGTGATATATGCAATAAGATCTTTCACTCATATCAAGCACTTGGTGGGCATAGAGCGAGCCACAAGAAGCTAAAGGGCTGCTACCTGGCCTCCGCCATGGAAGAAGAAGAGGAAGAAATGGGCAGCGAGAGTAGCGCAGAAATTGCCATTTCCGCAAACCCAACAGCCGAAAGCAAGCTCTCGAAAGCCCACAACAATGGCGGTCGAAGCTACGAGGAAATGGGTTCGCAGATTCCAAAAAAGAGCAGCAAACACAAGTGCCCAATTTGCGAGAAAGTTTTCGCATCAGGGCAAGCGCTTGGTGGGCATAAGAGATCGCATTTGGTGAGTGGATCAGATGCCAAAAACAGAGAAACAGTTGAAATCCGTAAGAAATTCCCAGAAGTTAGGGGGTTTTTGGACCTGAATCTTCCTCCTGAACCTGTCGAAAGGGAAATCAAGGACCACAATATTGGGTCATTGAAGCCATGGTGGGTTGCAGCCAGTGAACACAAGCATGAGGCTCTTGTGAATGTGGGTTTTCATATCTAACTCATCACTTCTTCCATTTTTCAACTTCAAGTAAAATAAAAAAAACTAAAAAAAAATCAAGAAGAAGAAGAGGATTTAAGAGGTTGTATAGTCAAAATACTTTCTGGGTATCATTTCATTTCATTGATTCTTTACATTGTGGTTGAAGATCCCTCCATTAATGCTTCAAAATTGCAGCTTTGTTTTTTTTTTTTTGTTTCTATTGTATAATAAAAAAGGATACATTTTTTCTAATGGGGTTGGGTTTTGTTAAGTGATCTTGTTCTTGGAGGGTCATTATTTTATCTTGGCACCAAAGAGAAATGAGTGATGCCTTGAAAGATGGGAATGGTATAAGAAAGTCATGGGAGAGAAATAAAGGCAAGATTTAAGATACAACTTAAAGATGGCATGTGAGCTCAAAGTGGTTGTTTAGTCACCTACCAAAAACATGACAAAGCCATCTCACTTCCACCCTCTTCCTTCCCTTTCTTACTTTCTATGCAATGCAAGTGGTGTTTGGCAATAAACATCATGCTATGCTCTAAATAAAAAATAAAAGTCCCATTTTAATCTTGAGAGAGAGAGAGGACCACCTCCAAGTGTGAAAGAAACTTTCATATTAAATTAGGAATGATTAAATTATAAGCTTGCTCCTTGAATTTTTAGAATTATGTCTTATAGATTCTTAAATTTGTAAGTTTGTGTCTAATAGATATCTCGAGAGAGAGAGAGCTACCTTTAAGTGTGAAAAGAAATTTTCCTATTAAATCAAGAATGGTTAATGATATGTTTGAGAGTGATGTTAGAAGGAGTGATTTTTGAAAAAGAAATTTAAGTATAATTGATTTTCCAAAATCTATCAAATCAATTTAAAGTGATTTTAAGTTTTCCTTCTAGTTTATCAAATATGATAAATGGAAATGGAAGTGATTTTGACAATGGTAAAAGTGCTCCCAAACACACGTTAAATCACAAGCTTGGTCTTGGACTTTGAATTATGTCTTATATATTCTTAAAACTTTGTGTCTAATAAATCCCTGAATTTTGAAAGGTGTCAATGAGTTTTATGAACTTTCAAAGTGGCCTCATAGACCTCCAAACTTAGAGAAGTGATTAAAAAATCAAAGACTAATTGGACACAAAATTGAAAATTCAAAGATACATTACACATAACCATAAAAATGTTAAAAGAGACTAAATTTTGAGAAGTTTCAATTGTCTCCATGAGTTTTGAAAAATTCCCATTAAATTTACATTGATGTGGCACTACCCAGTTGGTGTAATATAAAAGACAACTGTATAGACCAATAAACATGTCATATCGGCATTTTATTAACACCAAAGACTTCTAGAAGCATAATTCAAAGTTTAATGACCCAAATGATTTTATTTCTCCGTTCAAATACTAAGTACACACAAATACTCCAAGTCGAGGAGCTCAATTGTAATTTAACCATTTATTTTCTAAAATTTAAAGTCAATAATGTGAATGTGTAGATGGTTGCATATAGGTTTTAGTGGTGAAAATAGTAACCCTAACTAAAGAAGCTAAAGATTGAAATGGAAAAAAGGTACTAAAAAGGCTCTATAAAGAGTATAGTAAATGGAATAATGGCATTGAGTTAGAATGAGTGACCTAATTAATTGGGGGCGAACCACACAAGCAAACCATTTGGCCCCATTGGCAATGGCCACGCCTCCTTGTTCTTTTTTGGTGTAAAAAGCTTTTGCCCCAAACTCATTTTCTTTCTTTCCTTTTGACTTTACCATTTTTTCCTATTTCCTTTTCCCCTAATCTCATATACCATTTCTTACAAGATGTTTGAGCATCTTGTTGTTATGTGTTATAGTGATTGTTTCGCTGTGATTTTTGTTGAGAAATCGTGTGGAGGTTATGTTGTGTTTGTTTTTCATTATTTACTCGTGAAAATTATGATATTGGGTAGAATATAGTTACTATAAAATGGATATTCAATATAAAATATTAGAACTACATTAATAATAGGGTTGGTTGGATTTTTGTTGACAGTTGTTATAAAAATACTATAATCGTTGATCGAGCACACCTTAAGCAGAAAAAATATATGTTACCTACCTCTACGATTCTTGAATTCAAAATTTTTAAAAAAATTCTTATTCTTACGTTTCCTTGAGGTGTTTAAATATTTAACATAAAATATCTTACATTATTTTGCCAAAACGTAGCTCAACGGTAATTGACATCTATTCCTTCTAGATCAGGAATTCAAACTCTCATGCTCTAATTTGCTGCATTAAAAAAAACATCTTACATTTATTTAAGAGCCCTATCCTTTTCTTTATTTATTTTGCAAAATTGCCTTATCCTCTCATAAGTGCTTTGCTTACTTTGTATTCACTTGCAATAAAGACTAAAGAGATCCAAAAACAGATTTTTAATTGATGGTTTAACAACCCATATTTACCCTTCTTCAATTGCATTTCATTTTAATAAATTGTATTAAAAACCTTCAATTTTTTAATTTATCTTTATGTCTTAAAAAATTATATATATTTTTTCTTCTACCAATTTTACCCACATGCCACCGTTGATATATCGACATATTGTAGAGCCAACATGACTATATGAGCATAGTTTAGTGTTAAGACATTTTGTTTTATTCTTAAAGATTGAAAATTCAATCTTCTAACCTCACATTTGTTGTGCTTAAAAAAACGATGTATCTTAGTTTTATGTTTATATGTCGACATTTTCATATATTTATAAATTCGACGTTGAAATAAGAGAGTGAATCGATAATTCTATAGTATTGCAGAAGAATCGATAAAATATAAAAAATATCAACTAAACATCACTACGAACATAATATTAATATTTATTTATTAATTTAAACATTTGTTGTGATTTTTTCCAATAAAATTAATTTCTACTTACATCCGCATTTAAAACTTTGGCATTAACCAAAACACTATATTGATGAGTTGGAATCCCCGCACTGAACTAAAAACGAAAAAAGAATAAAATTTTCTCTCTTTCCCAAGCGTTCTTTTCAAAACGCCATTAATTTTCCATCAATTTTGGAACTCGCGATTCCGACTCGGCTCAAACTCGGCAATTGGAGACCGAGCGAGCACCGTTGGAGCCCAGGTCCAGTTATGGAGATTGGAGGGAGGCCCAAGAATTTGGCGATGGCGAGCTGAGCCCTGTCTCCTTATCCGCTCCACGATCGCGATGCAAAATCTCCCCGGCAGCAGGCGCGGCGCCAGAGGCGACGTCTTCCATCTCCACCGCGTTTGAGAGTTTCAGAAGCCTCCGAATTGTAATCCAATTCCCTCACGATAAACTGAATTTCCATTTCTTCAATTCGCCCAATGTTTCATCCGCAGCAGCCGCCTCCTCCTTCTTCTTCCTATTTCCCTCCTCAACCCCACATTGTAAATGCTATCCCTTCTGCTTTCCCTCCTTTTCCTCAGCCCGTTTTGCCCCCTGAGCCGGCCCTGCATCCACCCGGCACCGACCCTTATTCCAATTCCGCCTTGTTACCCTCCACCTATGTTGGATTGGAAGGCCAACCCCAATATTATGCTGCCCCAGTCGCTGCTTCTCATAATTGGGTCGTCCCACAGCCCGAACCCCTTGGATATGTGAGTGCTTTTTCTTCTTCTCTGGCTTCCCGAAGTTTCAAATTCTATTGATCATGTTAATTTTCTTGAGTTTGGTGGACTGTCTTGTGTCTTCTATTGAGTTTGGATTATTCCAGGGTTTGTGGAGGCTGAACTTCGTTTAATTTTGATATTCGTGTTGCGCGCAGTTGCGTTGCCATAGACCTGTTTCTTCGTTGTTTTAGTTAAATCAAGGGCGTGTTTTAGAGTGCTTCGATGTACGTAATTTTGGTAAAAAGTGCGTAATAATAATTAATAATTATTTTGATGTTTCGTTCTACATTCTTGGACTAGTTTTGAATGTGAAAAGTTTGAGTGAAAAATGCTTTCGTTTATGATAAAAGTAAAATTTTGACTGGCTGAAGTGATGTGCACCTTATTTATGTGTGTGATCTGAATTTGATTGCTTGAATGGAAATAACTCTTTACTGATTTTGAGGAAGTGGGAGCTCTATATCTAAATGTCTTGATCCGCATGCATCAAAACTTCCCAGAAGTTCATGTTAGCACTCTTTTTTATCTTATTTTTTTTCAGGCATTCAGTTCTTTGCATGAGAATCAAGTACCTTCCACAAGTTCTAATGCTTTGCTGAGTGGTCATTGGGCAACTCAATCCTTGGAACACAAAGCAACTAGGATGAAACATGTGAAAACCAAGTTCACACAACCCGTGCGATGTGAAGTTTGCAAGATTGACTGTAACAGCAAAGACGTTTTTGATAAACATGTAATCGGGAAGAAACACAAGAAGAATTTGGAAGTGCAAAACAGTGCCTTGACAGTAAGTACTTCCTCTGATAGTAACATAAATATGCTTAACCAAATGGGCAAGGTTAGTGGACAAGTGGTACAGGGGACTCCGGATGTGCCTGCTGCTAGTAAAGATCTGGAGACAAAGAAGCGCAAGCTTGTAGATTGCAGTACAAAATCAGATTCTTCGAGGGTTTGTGCTGTATGCAACGTTGTTTGCAATAGTCAAGAGGTTTTTGATAAACATCTGAGTGGGAAAAAGCATGCAGCTCAGGTGAGTTACATTGGTATATTCTGCTAGTTTAAACTGTGTAACTCTGGTCATCCGTTGCTTTCTTTTAATGGTTTTCCTTTCAGTACCTATTTACTTATTTTTATTTGTTCCCTTCAGTATAAATATGAACGCATTATGTTATGGTTTAAAAAAACAATGAAATAAGAAGCATATCCATTCCATTCCAATGGGGTTATTGGAATGTGTGATTTGATTCTTTTCTTTTGTATAAAAAAAAACTGATTTATATGTTAAATGGAAGTTGGTACAAGGTGATTGGGGCATGTAATCCTTAATTTTGTTTCTGGGAAATTCACCTCCTTGGCATATGTATATCTGTTGCATCCTATACATGATTGTAATAGAAAAGCATCTTAAATTAGGGGTTTAAGTTGTGAACCATGTTTGCACCAATCCTGAGAAACATAGTTACTCTGTGGAGTGAGTATTTTGATCAGCTCTTAATGATGTTGATGAGGAGTGCTTCTTTCCAAGTTATTGCTATTCTTATAGTTCTGTCTAGTAATTACCATGAGCTTTGGTCAGATTGGCTAAAAAGTTAGCATTTACACCTCACAGGATATTGATTCATTTAATACAGCTATGAAAAAAAAAAGTTTGAAACTGTTTCTCTCTGGTTGTATATCTCTTTGTTAAAACTTCAACATTCCTGCTCTAGGCTGGCTTGATATCCCAAAATCCCTTTGTTGCTGCAATGCGGTCTGCATATGATGGCAGTTTGAAGAAAAAACCGAAAAAGAGCAAGGTTGTACAGTCTGCGTGGTGTGAGGTTTGCAAGATCAGCTGTAACAGCAACGAAATCTATGTCAAGCACTTATCAGGAAAGAAACATCTGAAGAATGCAGAGAAAGTCGAAAAGGGAAAGAGCGATGCAGCTGCTTCACATGCTCCACCATCGGCAACCGATCCAATCATTGGACCAGTGGAAAACCCAGCTGCCAACAACCCAAGTAACGACGATACACAGAAAACACAGAAGAGTTCAGCCCAAACACCTGGAGATTTGGAGACAAAGAAACGCAAGATTGTTGAAAGTGGCACGGCTGCAGATTCAGTTAAAACCTGCACCATCTGCAATGTGGTGTGCAATAGCGAGACAGTCTTCAACTCTCATCTAGCTGGCCAGAGGCACGCTGCCATGGTGAAGAAACAAGCAGTGTCTGGAATGTCAATGGTAGGTCCTCCATTAGTAACTGCACTTCCAAATTAGTTTTTTCGGGAAAACCCACACCATATCGCGACCAAATCACCGTGTATTTGTATTTTTTTGATGTTCCCTTATGTTCGTCTTGTGTTGCATTTTCTCCTTCTTCAAGTTGTCGAGCTTAACATTGTCGGGGCTGAGGGGCATCATAGGCTTCTAGTTTAAAGACTGGTGATTTTGCTGTTGTAAATCACATTATATAGATTACGGTACTGGTGTTATTTCCAAGTTTATAATTCCTAAAGAAAACTTGTTTTGTGAAGGTTGATTGTAAGAAAATGAACAAGGTAAAGATCTTCCAGTCTCTCTTATTTGTAAACATTTCAATGTTATCTTTTTTATGTGTTTTTATTAAGAAACATATCATTAAATTCAAAAGATAAATACAAAAAGGAGAGGAACTAATCAACAAAACTCTCCAATTAAGTTGGATATCAAAACCAAAACACAAATACATTTATGTTTTAAAATAGTTGTTTGTCAGAGAGTAAAAACAAAGTTAGTAATGGACTAAAAAGAACATTTTTTAATGCTCCTTCAACAAAAAAAAAAAAAAAGAAAAAAAGAAAAAATTAATACTGTTTGGTCTAATATTTTTAGTTTTAGTTTATTTTGGTTAATTTATCTTTTAACTTTTATTCATTTTAATTCCTCTACTTTCTTTCGTTCATAATTTTAGTATAACACTTCACTCAATTGTGTGTAAAATTTATATCAAATTTTACAAATAAAGACCAAAATGATCACTTTTTAAGAGTACATAGACAAAACATGCATTTTAAAAGTATAGGAATTAAAATGGATAAAATTTGAAAGCAAACCAAAGACTCGAACAGTATTAAAACCAAAAAAATATTTTACCATCAGAAAATTGTATATTCAAAACTGTCATCCTCCTTTGTATATTCCAAAATCCCAAGGCAGCCCAACTTGCCGAAAGGCTATAAATGTCAACAATTGTAGAATTAACGGATTTTGTCTTTAATTTTTAATTTTTTTCACGTTGGCTTAATTTTATTTATTTATTTATTTTTCTTGTTTGACTTTCATCTTCCTGCTCTATGATTGGTGGATCAGGAAGTTCAATGGATAGTTGAGTTGTTTGAACAAATCAATTTTAGTAATTTAATGGAAGAAAGACAGCAAAAGCAAGATTAAGATTTTAAGATCTGTTAAACACTGTATCATACATAATCATTAATAGTTTCTATTTGGTTCGACTTTTTTTTACAAATTTTCAGTTTTGTTTTTTATAATTTCAATGTTTTGTGTTTGGTTTCTGAATTCAGCATAAAAATTCATTTGAATTTTATCGTGAGATAATTGTGACTATTTTATTTGATATCAAGAAGAAGAAAAAAACTGATAATTAAAATTAATCATGAATGGTTCAACGATGGCTGGAATCAAGAAAAAGGTATTTTCTATTCGAATCAAGAGTTTTAAATTTCGTAGACCTTCTAACATACACTTTGTGCAGATACTCGTTTAAAATGAGCGGAAAGTTGATATAACAATTAACGTTGAAGTTTGTCTGGATTAAGTCCATAAAATGTAAAAGAAACTATCATGTTCAAGGTCCACCAATTCTTCCACGTCATTCAAGTCATTTCAAATTCTACCATGCCAACGTTTCATAAAAAATATTAGTCTATGATAGAGTTGTTTTTGAAACACCCACAAAGTTCAGGAGTGTTCTTTTTAATTTAGTCATCATTTTATAATTTTATAATTTTGTTGGTTTGGGTATGATTTGTTTATTAATTCAAAGGCTTCCTCAACTTTCACGCCAGTTTCCATTGCCAAAGACTTCTTAAAACCCAAGTTGTTCCATTCCAATCGCGGCTGATTCTTTCGGCCCAGGTCTTCCTTTGACTCTTTCCCTCCCTCTCTTCCCTTCTTTTCCTTCAAAAACCAGCACAACCCTTCCCAGTTTTTTTATACTCTTAATCGTCCGAGTTCTCCAAATTTGAAGGTATTTTTAACCACTTTCTTTTCAGTTTTATTTGGAATTTCTCTTCACTTCTCAATGCTTATGGGTTTCTCTGGATTTTTTCTTTCAATGGGTGAAGTCCAACTTGCTTTCTTTCCCAAACACCATCGTTTCCCTGATCAAGAAGCTGTTCCTTCGATGAAATTCTTTTCTTTTGAACTCTTGTAATCTATGTTCTTATTTTTTATGTGATTTCTCAACTGGTTTACAGAGAAGATTGAGAAAGTGAAAAGAAAAGGGATAGTTGGATTCTTATTGTTGATTTTTCTGTTGTTTTTGTTTTTGCACTGTTTGATTCATTGCCATGATCTTTGTGGGAATATGGTATCCTCTTTAAGATGAATTTATCTGATCACTTTCTTCTCGTTGTTTTTTCACATTTAATGGCTCTAAACTCTGTTCTTCATGGTGCTTGTATTTTCATCTTCTTGTGTTGATTGGGGCAATTCACTATTTTTTCTCCTTTGGTCCTGCTAGTTTGCCCATTTTGTTGTTGATTTCAACTCTCATGTCCCTCATCATGATCTTATATGTTTCTTGTTTTACTTTCAGGGTGGAACTGTGATCATTCTAAGCATTAGAATCATAGTCTCTGACACAAAACCATCAGCTAGTTTTCTGCATTTGCCTTCTCAGAAATGTCACATTTTAGGAAATCCCCCATAAATGTTGCTAGGCATGGCTCAGCCCAGCCTGCTTATTCTGCTCGTTCCAGTTCAAACCCAATTGATTCCAATGATGATTTAGACAAGAGGCAAAAGCATAAGTCCACAAGAAGCACCTCTGCTCACCATGCAACTGTAGCACCAAACCCCAGCTCCAATCTTTTCGAGGATCATCTTGCGAAAGAGACCGACTCTTCATCATCCACAAGTTCATATTCATGGTCGTCAAGAAACCGATATAAGAACGATTTCCGTGACTCCGGTGGGCTTGAGAATCAGACAGTAGAGGAGCTGGAGAACTATGCTACGTACAAGGCCGAGGAGACGACGACAGCAGTTAACAACTGCCTGAAGATTGCTGAGGACATGAGAGAAGATGCAACGAAAACTTTAGTTGCCCTGCATCAACAGGGTGAGCAAATCACTCGGACTCATGTAGTTACTGCTGATATTGACAATGATCTTAGTCGGGTACGTGGAATGAACTAACCACCATATTCATGCTGAATCAACTTCTTGAATATATGCTTAATCTTCTTATGTGCTGCTTTTTTACTTGAATTGGTGAGGATCAATGGATGTTCTTGCTTTTCTTAGCCTCCCTTTTTTTTGGGTCTCATTGGCGTTAATCATATTTTCATCCTAATGAAGTTACACATTAGAATATCTTGCCTTCCATCGACCTTACTCCAAATGAGATATTTTGTTAAGAATTTGAGTAATACAGGGTTGAAGTTACAAAAACTTAGGTCTTTTGTAACTTGCGTTTGCTTTTATGTTGGTTTCATAATTTGTAAAAAGTTTGTAGTTGTTGTTTGAGGTTTGTGGATGGAGAGAAATAATAGGATTCTTTTAGGAGTTAAAAGAGATTTTGGGAGGACGTGTGAGCTCTTGCTTGGTCTCATGTTTCCTTTAGTCTTCAGTGTCGAAAGACTTCTATAATTAGTCTCTAGGTTTGATCTTACTTCATTGGAGATCTACGCTGTTTTCTTATATGCCATTTCGTATTCTTTCATTTTTCACAATAAAAGTTCGGCTTTTCATTAAAGTATATATAGCTTTCTGAAGTTATATTATGCTAATTGTAGTTGAAACTTGTTATTCTGAAACTGTTATGTGGCACTACTGTCAAGCCTCTCATTTATGGATGATTCTTGTTAAGATCCTGAAATGATTTGGGTATTTATCATCATTATTTGATAATGCTGATTTCAGGGTGAGAAATTTCTAGGAAGTTTAGGAGGGTTATTCTCCAAGACTTGGAAGCCAAAGAAAGGTCGTCAGATAACAGGCCCTGTTGTCCTAGCAGGTAACATCTTCAAACCTTAAAACCAAAAGAAGGAAATAAAAGTGACCATCAGCTTTGGTTATCCAAACAAATTTATACAATCCTAATCAATAAAAAAAAAAGGTACCAACATGAACATAGTTCAACAGTTAAGATATTTTGCTTCTTCCCTAACACTTGGAAGTTCAATCCTTCATCTCCAAATTTATTGTACTAAGGAAAAAAAAAGAACCAAAACGGTTTGTAAATCTTAACGTAGTAAAACTGGTTAAAGCATATATCTTCGACAAAAAATCAAAATCTCCACCCCTACACGTTGTTGAACTTATTAAAAGAAAAAACAAACAAGAAAGGTTTCAACTTTCCCACCAGATGGATGAAGCTGATGGTCAATGAGATATACTTTTAATTTAAATACTATTTTAGTCTACTTTTAGTTTTCATTTATTTTAGATCTTATACTTTCAAAATGTTTATTTTAGTCTTCCAACTCAAATTCATTTTAATCCATATATTTTCAAAATATCCGGATATTTTGATCTATGTAATGTACCTTTAAAAAGTGACAATTTCGATCCCTCTTCTTTTGTTTATAATTTATTTATTCATTTAAATGATAGAGGATCAGGCTGTAATAAGCAAGGGCAACCATTTGGAGCAGAGGGAGAAGTTGGGGTTAAGTAGGGCACCCAAGCCACGGCCCTCACGTGCCCCACACCCTGAGCCAACCAATTCACTTCAGAAAGTTGAGGTTTGTAATTTCTTAGTTTCTTTATACTCCATCACATGTAGAAAAAGTGCAAGCAAGTTTCATATGATTTCTGGAGAAGTGCTTTTGGATGGTGTCGTGGTTATATAGTTAAAAGAGTGATTTGGTAAAGCAGGTAGAAAAGGTGAAACAAGAGGATGCTCTTTCAGATTTAAGCAATATATTGGGAGAGCTTAAAAATATGGCTGTTGACATGGGATCTGAATTAGACAGGTGAGTTGTTTACTATAAATGCCAAAATTTTCTTCCATCTTCCTTAAACTTGGCTGAGACCTATCTATCTTCTCCTATTCCAGGCAGAATAAAGCTCTGGATAACCTGTTCGATGATGCTGATGAGATCACCATCCGTGTCGATAATGCTAATCGGCGTGCTCGTCACTTGCTTAGAAAGTAGATGGCAAGGTCTTCTCGTCTCGTCTTGTCTGCCATCAACAATTTGATGGTTGATGCTAGGCTGCTTGCCACCTTCCTCCGAGTCTCTTCCTCTCTATCTCTGTTTCATACAACAAGAAAGATAAAATATTACAGAAAACAGTTGTGAAGATGGTCTTTTTGACAATCTTCTTCTATATGGTTTGGTTATTGTAGCTTTGTAATCGCACTCTTGTTGATAATGCTATATGCAGATAAGCATTTGTTTTCCTCACGGATTGAAATATCGAATTTTGAGACAGTAATATGTATCGTATTCATTTATAGACAAAAGCCAAAAGGAAACTAAAATTTCTACCCCTAAAGTGGGATGTTGCTGCCAAGAAACTAAGGCAACTTAGAAAAACAAAGAAGAAAAAAAGGAAAAACGAACTATTGCCTTTGAAGTTTTAAAGGTATCCTTTTTATAATTAGAAGTGTAACTAGCGAGTTGATTTTGACTCGATTATTTTGCCAAAGTGAATACCCAGAAACTGTATTTTAAAAACAAACGGTTTGAATCGATTGCTTGGTGAAAAAGTTGTAGATCTCGATCACCAAAAATTGACGAAATCTATCTAACCAATCAAAATTGATAAAATATACCAAATTGAATCAACCCGACAAGTTTTTAAGACCAGAATTTGTTGTTCATGACAGAAAGAAAATGAAAGATTGATCCATAATGTCATGGCTATCGCCGGCCATGGAATATTCAATTATTTTCAATATATTACATTCATCATTCAGAATTGGTCCAACAACTTCACGCGCAGTTGAAATCGAACCAATAAAAAGAGCCAATCATGTTCATCATCACCAAATATTTCAAATCCCATCCTGCAATCAAAGGTGTGATTTCTAAAATATACAAGCCAAAGCACAGGAAGAACTCCCACAACAAATCTTTTATTGAAAAAAAAAATATAAATTAGGAGAGAGATGTCAAAAGAAAAACCAGTGAATCGAAAACGAACCCTAACTAATGAAATCTGTAATAAATCGCGGGAAAAAGAAGAGCAAAGGAGCTTCCGTACTCAGTTTGCGGGATGAGGGTCCATGATGCTCTTGACCTTGGGCGCGAAGAAGGAGTAGACGGTGGACTGTCTTCGGGCAACTTCGAGCTGGGCCCTGCCGTCGGCGTAGGCTGAGGAGATGGACGAAGGATCGGAGAGGTTCCTGTTATGGCGGAAGCCGTCGACGGCGCGCCGCTTGGCGTACTCTCTGACGTTGTAATCGCAGAAGTGACGGGCTGTACGGAGGAGAGAGCGAAGAAGCGAAAGAGCCTCCGTCCTCGTCGGAGTCGCCATTCTCGAAGGACTGCGTATACGGCGGCGGAATTGTTCGGTGAAAGGCTGATACCTTCTTTTAGTTGTCCATCAACAAGGTTCAGATTCTCTTCGAACAAAATTCATGAAAAGAAAGGACGAAAAAGGGGGAAAAAAAAGGTATATATATACATTTATTTTATTTATTTATTTATTTATTCATTACAATAAATAGTGAAAATTTGAACCTCATAATAAAATAAGTAGATGATATCTTTATAGTTGAAACAAATACTTGTGATGACTCATCCACAAATATCTTTATTTTTACTTCGTAAACTTACTTGTATATACTTAATGAGAGATTTAAACTTCTAACTATAGTAACGTCTTAATTGAGATGGCAACTTATGTTTGAACTAAAATCTTGCACAGAAATTTTAAGTTTGGGTTAACCAAAATAAAATTATAAATAAATAAATTTGGAAAATATGTCAACAAATTTAGAAAATATGTCTCAACTATATATGTTACACATTTGTTTGGCTTCTGAGAAAATTCAGGAAAAATTATTCGGAATTTGAAGCTTTCAGAGCTAGCAAAAGCCAAGTTTGTAACCTGAAGAGTTCAGAAGTTTACAGATTCAGTAGCCGACCACAGCAGAACGGATTTTGTAGCTTCTTCACAAACGACAGGATTGCAAAAACGATCATATACACGCCATCTGGTAACGTTTCCATTTCTTCACAATTAATCCACCACAACTTATTACACATCTTTCCAATTAATCATTACAGAAACAATAACTTACTGATGATATTGTACGATTATTCAGAATTTAAGCAGCTTCTTTAAGCTTTACAGTTACGCTGCAGAATCACGAGCAAAGACAATCTGAAATCACAAGCACGATGGGGCATCGAAGTTGGGGAATACTATGAAAGCAATGGACAACGGGATCATAAAGATCGGAGTGTTGACGTCACGGAGGACAGGATTCAAACTTGGAAGCTCCCCATCAGGAGTGAGCTCCAATGGAGATCCATTTAGAACCATGGTTTGGCTTTGGAGGTAGCCATCCTTTGGGGTCAGGTGATATTCTTCTCTTGACACTGATGCATCAGAGACTTTGTTTCCAATCCATGCTACAGTCTTCTTCATGCCTTTCATGAAGGAATTCTCTCTCCTAACCCCATTTTCTTGAACATTCAGAAACACATTTTTGCTGTTTTGAACATGAATTGTGAAGTGGGTTTGGTTGCTCAAATTGATCAGAAGTACAGTCACACCAGTCTGGATAAAAAGATAGAAATCACAGAAAGTTAGTATCTTGATTATGGGTAATTTTGTTCAAGATTAATTGGAACAACTACAAGAGGGAGAGTATATTTGATAATGTAAGGTCCATTTAACACTAGTTTTTACTAATGGAAAACTAAAATAACATCATTATCAAATGCGTTTTCAAATAACATCCAAATGTTAGGAATGTCATTGGGGTAGTCAAAAATATTATTACAGTATTAAGGAGTAGTACAGATTTGTATAGATAGAGTGAGTAGTATAGGATGAGGTAAGCAATATTATGGTGGTTTAATCTGGAGTGTGGTCATCCAAGTAACTTGAATTATTCATGTACTAAAAAAAACCATTTCAATTTTTGGGTATCTATTTACCAACCTCTTCTTTCATTTGATATAATTATAGTCAATGAAAAGAGCCTTACACTTCCCCTTGAACAATGAGCGTAAGCGCGTAAAAATGACGAAGCATCACTACCAACAGGAAGAACAGTTTTCCCCATAAGCCGATCCCACAGAAGTGCACTGTTTAGAAAATCAAACAGATCTAAAAGTTAGATACACAGTGGACTAAGAAGATGAGTAATAGAGTCAGTATAGGAAAAGTTGTAAAAGCATTACCTGTAAAAATCTGGATTTGGTACAAATGTGGATGTGTTGAGCAGACCATAGTGACCCCCAATTAATGTCTGCCTACAATACACTTTGGTATCGTACTTGGATGCCAATCCCAGTTGATCTAAGTACCTACGCAACATACGAATGATCCCGTGACGGTTTATTCGTTTCAAAACAAGCATTACAAGGTATAACTACATGTTTTTGGGAATGAAGATTACCAAAAGCTGTTAATGAATGTGTTGGATACATGGCGACCACCGCTGTTATAGGCCCCACCAGACTCTCCGACCCACGCAGATGCCCATGGACCATGAACTTGGATGGTTTGGTCTAATCTGTTAAAGATTTCTGATACCCTGCTTAAGTAATGTGGATCCAGTATGTTGTTTGTAAGATGGGGATCAATGCCTGGAACGAAAAGAAACAGCAATGAATGATTAAACAGACAACCATATCGATCTCTTTCTTTATGGATGCTGTACTATCTTACCGGCCCCAAGATTGTAGATATGATGAGTGATGACATTCACAACATTAGATCCTGAAACCTGAAGAAGTTTGGCATACCATTCTTGCTCAAAGAATCCTCCTGGTGCTACGAGTGAAGGTTTTGAGTCGGAATTCTTGTACAACTCATTGATAATGTCTCTCAGTTTGATCACATCTTTTGCATACAGTTCGACATCGACACTCGCACCAACGCCATGTCCACTCAATTCGTTACCTGTAGTTTAAAGGGTATGAAATTTGAGCCGAGGCCACCGATCAAATGATTGTAATGAATGGTAACTTTTAGAGTCTTTTACCAAACTCCCATGAATCTACCACATATCCCTTTGATATGGTGTAATTCATAAAATCCCGAGCATTTGCTGAGTCCCACTCTCCTCCCCATCTATCTCTTTGAATTTGGTGCCTTCCATGTAGTGCATTCAAGCCAAAGGTCACTATGGCCCTGAAAATATAAGATTCGACCTGTGATAAGACATATATAGGAATGTGCCAATCTAAGGTTTCCATTTTTGAACATGCATAATCCTTTAAGAAAATAAACAAATAAGAGAACTTAAGCATTAAAAAATTTAAGATGTGCAGCCTTTGTTCGAAGAGTGGAGAGAGCTTGGATCATTTGTTTCTCCATTGTGATTTTGCAGCTAAGGCTTGGAACTAACTGTGTCCGGTTTTTAAATTACTTTTTTGTGCCCCCAGATTCATTCCAAAGACTGGATGATGGAATTCCTCAATGCTTGGAACCTTAGAGGAAGTGAGAGAATTTTGTGGAGATGTGCTTCTAGAGCTTTACTTTGAAATATATTGAGGGAAATAAATCAGAGTTCTTGAGGGTGTTGAAGCCTCGTTGGTTCCCTTATAAATAGTGTGCATTTAGTTTACTACTTCCTTGCAGTGCTTAAAACACAAGAAATTCTTTTCTAACTACGGCCTATCCATGATTCTTCAAGATTGGAAAGCTGTGATTCATTAGCTTTCTGTTGGGATAGGGTGCCCTTGTCAGCTGCCCTTAGGTTGTTCTTTTGTTTCTTTGTTTCTTGTATTTATAAATTTCATTTCTTATCAAAATAATAATAATAATGATGATGATATAGATGTATCTAGTGGCCACTGGAGGAAGTTTCAGAAATAGTATGAACATGATCTATACAAACATCCAATCGTAACACTTTTCATCCCACATAACGTGCCTACATTTTTATCATTTTAATGAACTTACTTATGAAAGATGTCTCAGGATACACATGTTTACCAAACTAATCTTTCAAGGAGTTGCAAAACGAAACAAATAAGACAAGTAAATGTTTTACCCTGTGGTCTTGAATAATTGGTTTAGATCATCCCATCTACTCATGTGCAAACACCCTTTGGAAAAACCAAACAACCCTGATTGCACCTTCTGAAATGGATGGCATGGCGTCTTCAAACTTCCCACGTCGTACAACACTTGGTCTTGCAGAGAACCGCCAATTCTTATCCTCAAATGCTCAAAAGCTTCCAAGTTTCAACCCGCCACGCACCATCAATACAAGTTTTGCAGGTGAAAATATTCAGAAAAGAGGATTCTTATGACGATAGAATTAAGGTTAAATTGCAAGTTGTCCCAAAACTTTCAGCCTTAAAAATTGTGTCTAATGGTTCCTATTTCAATTTTGTGTCTAATAGGCCTTCGACCTGTTTGATAATTTAAAAATTCACACACTTATTAGTAGAAAGGTCAGAGTCATATTATATGCAAAATTCAATTTTATATTTAATAAGTATGAGGATTTTAAACAATATTGAATATGTTAGGGACTTATTAGATAAAAAATTGAAAGTTTATGAACCTAGTGCTTTTTAAGGTTCTGAACCTATTGTTCAAGAACCTATTAGACACAACTCTGAAAGTTCAGGAACTAAATTTGTAATTTAACTCATATTTTATTACATGTAGTATAGTTCTATTGATGGATAAAAGCCTAAATATTCAGGAAAGAACACCTTGTATGGCCTTGATGAGAAGAGGATGAGACAAGTTCTGAAATGAGGAAAAAAATTGAGCTTGAATCAATCATAACAAAGAAGTGAGCAAATCCCTAGTTTAAACATTAAGGATGCGAAGTATCTAATTCTCACCAAATTTGTTGCTGAAGAATACCCCCATGGACAACGATTGTAGTTACACTTATCATGAGGCCACCAATCAATGGTGGCACAAATGTAGTTATCATCAGTTTGAGCAACTACTACAGCTCCATCAACTATGACTCTACCATGTGTTGCTATCTGAGCCAAGATAGCGGGAAGAGAAGCTAACATAAGAAACAAGGAGATCCTGAAGTCCATTGGTTAGTGAAATAAGCAGCCTCAATAGCAGACTTGCACACACAGTTCACACCCCCTACAGCATAGAGAAGAAGAAAGAGATGAGAATTGACAGAAGAATACTTTCTATCTAAGATGAATGATTCAAATATGACATAATTTTCTCCATGGATGTGTTTCTTACAGAGGATATTGATGGAAGGACGAGATCTATTGTTTAGTATCTCCACTTGGTTATGTTAAATACTGTTCAAGCATTTAAATTGCCAAAAACTTACAGTAGCCTGATAAGAACTGGGTTTTACTGAAGCTGCACCGACATAGGAGACTAAAGGGTATTGAAATGAAAATTTCAATACCTTGGCTAAAAACAGGGAATATTAGCCTTCTTTTGAAATCTAGATTCAAGAAGATTATGTTGAAGTTTGTAGTTGTACTGGAATTCTTGGGTCGTATATAAATTTGTTATGTTGTTTGTTTCTTGGGGAAATCAGAAGATACAAGCTTAAGATTCAAGATAACAGAAACATCCCAACTAAAAAGTATAACTAAGAACTGAATCATTCTCGACACATCTGCAGAGCTCAATCACAGAGAAATTTCTGACTCTCATGCACAAAAAATACGTAAGGCAATCAAATTCGAGGCAACCCGGATGCAAATCAGATCAAACCCAGTGAAAAACAAGCATCAATTTCCATCTTACCATCGAAAGACGAAACCCAGCTGAAGTTTCGAAGCAACTTCCTTCAGAAACAGATGCCAGTACTTTCCAGCGAAACCCGTAGCTGTTTCCGCCCCGCTCCTGCGAGTTTCTGAATTGCAATGAATTACAGTGAGCAAGTAGAGTAAAAGCTATGGCGGACGAAATGGGTCTTTCTCATATTCGTCGTTTTGGCTAGAAATGTTCCTTCCAAACACCAACCGATGCTTAAACGAAAAAGTTTTGTGGGTTGGGTGAGAGGAACAGTTCTCTCAATCAAATTGTCGGCTCACGATTTATAAAAAATCTGCAGATACAGTAAGCGCCGGCTTGTAAAAAGTGATAGCTGTTTAATATTGGGAGCTGAAATTAGTGTTGTAAATGAAAAAAATTGGTTGCTTTGAGGGTTAATCGAGAGGGATGCTTTAACCCGGATACTTTCTTCCTCGTGCTCCCACTTTTTTCATAAAAAAAAAGAGGTGAAATATGCTGTGTTCCACCAGAAAAAACTGGAGAAAAAACATGTGATTGCCATCACCAGTCCAGTGATTCAACGGCCATTGACTATATGCGTTCATTTTGTTCAAAATTTTGATATTGGTTGAAAAAGTAAAGATTCACACTCAGTGCAGGGAGAGGATAGCTCAACCTAATTGACCCAGCATTATTTAGTTGGGATTTGAGTGGGGCGAAGTCTTATGTTGAGTTTTTTTGTCGCGCAAGTTCTGTTCAACGGGTCAGAAGTCGGGTCCCAAGTGATGGCCTTTTCGGGAAATCTGGATTCCGCCTCCCATGGACTGGTGCAAGATTAATACTGATGCTGCCATTAATCACTCTAATTTGACTGCAGATTTGGGGATGGTTATTAGAAATACTGCAACAAAGAGGGTAGAGCGTATGATTGATGTTGATTTGGCGGCGAAATTCCAACTTATAATTGCTCGCGATTTGGGATTCCAGCGGTGTATTCTTGAATTAGTTAGTTTTCATTTCTATTAAAATAATAATAATAATAATAAAATAACTCTTTTTTT